AATAGTTTTAGTGAAAGAATAATTTAGTTTTTATTGATTAATTTTCTATTTTTCCTAAATGTGAAAAGAAAATACAGAAAATCTTCTTTAACGAATGAAACATAACAAAATGAGTATCTTGGAAAATAGTTAAGTAATTGAAAGTTGAAGCGACCTAACCGTCGAGGGATGTTGTAGTTGTAGTTCTAGGTGGCGATTAGTTCCAAAGATATTGAAGATCTCTATAGCATCCATCAATGCAGTATTTACCTTACCTGACAGACACAACTACGGGCCGACACGTCATTTCATTTTAATAATTCAGACACACCTTCTTCTATATGTCTCTCATCTAATCATCTTGTCACTTTCTCAGGTCACGTCGGTTATTTTGCCGGCGGCTGGTTGCACGTGTGTCCACTAGTAATCTTTTCTATCGGGGTCCACGCACTTCAGATTTAGTAGATAACGATCGGACGGTTCAAAAGGAATTGGCTATTGAGATTTAAAACGTGGCATTCGGTAAGGAACTGTGTCTATATGTCGGCAAAGTGAATAGAAGCCGTAGTTGAATAGAAGTTTTGCTCTTAGGGAACTTTATGGCCTTTCTGGAAGAAAGAGGCCACTATTGTAGGCTTAGATGTCGCTTTGGGCCCCAGAAAAAGCCCTTAACGAATTACTTTAATTAAATAATAAAATTGATTATTTTAATATCACCTGCTTCTAATTTTATTTTTTAGATATGCAAGTGATTCTTAAATTTTATTCTAATTGCAATTATAAAAGAATATCAGGGAAAACTTAACAATACACAAGCTTTTTTTTCTTATCATCCTTATATAAATTAGGAATTTTTTGGAAAATTTATATGCATAACATAAATTTTATTGGTTTCTGACGCTTGAATTTTAAATATTAAAATGAAAAATAAAAAATAAAATATAACAAAATAAAAGATAATAATAAAGATAAAAACTACAATTTTTTGATCGGATTAAATTACTTCTTAAATACTGTAATAAAAAAATTAAGCAGCAATAACAACAACTAAATTCAATCGCTTCTTTAAAAACAACTTTAATCTCAAAATAATTTGAGCCAACGATATGAATCATTTGTTTTAAGTATACACTTTCATCATATGCAAAATAAATTATAAGTTGGAAAAAATATTTTAAACTACTCTATCCATTTCACTTTAATAGTAATAAATGAACATTTTTCCTTATTCCATTTTAAACGCTTATTTAGAATTTTGAGGGTATATTTTTTTCAATTTTATCCATATTTATTAATTGTTTTGTAGCAAAATTAAATAGGAGCTTTTAAACTATTTCATATTGTATAGCCCACAGTGTTATTTTACCTCATAAAAGCTTCTAGTGAATTAAAAGAAAATCGAGAGCTTTTAATTTAAGTCGGGCAATTTAGACATTATGCCATATATTTTTAGAAATCAATTGTTTTTTTTTATCCGTGTGAAAATATTAAATGTTACTATTAAAACGAAGGTCGCATCTTTAAAAAAAAATTTTTTGAAAAGAAAATTTAAAGCATTTGTTATATTAATAAGTAAAACAAAGTACAACTAATAACAATTTTTTATTTATGTTTAAATCATTACAACAAGTTTATTGAAAGAGAGAATGTGATTTAAAAATTTTAGAGTTGAATAATCCGATTTACGTATCTCTCGTTCCGCCCTCCGACTTGTAATTTTTGGATGACATGGCACAAATTCCAACAAAAGAAACAAGGCATGCAAATTAAGCACGTCTACCATTTGCCACTAATAAGCAAGCAACAAAACACTGTCGTTTCATTCGAGCACTAAACCGGTAATCCAAAAATATGAAAATCTGTAAATTCAATAAAAAAATTCAAGAAATTAAATTAAAAAATTTGAAAAATAAATATAGAAAATAAATATGAAAAATCTACAAATTCAATCAAAAATCTAGAAATTAAACATAGAATCTATAAACTAAATATAGAAATTAAATATGAAAATTTGGAAATTAAACCAGAAAATCTAAAAATTAAATATAACAACAATCGATCAAAAATCCGGAAATTAAATATGGCGACTGTCAATAAAAAGAAAAAGAAAACTAAAATTTATACTCCATGAAAATAATACAGTGAGATTTAGTAAGTAATACAGTGATTTTATCCATGAAAATTATGACGGATTGCTACGAAATAATGCATCGAAAAATGAAAGAAAAAAGAAAAGGAAGAAAGAAAGAAAGACGTCAATCAATCAAAGAGGCACAAATCAAGGAAAGGGGTAATGATTACAATAGAAACACACACCCGCTTGCCAATGCATCAACAGCAATTCCTTTGCTTTGTAATCTACGTCCATAACAAAAATCTTCTTTTCCAAAAAACATTTAGAAACATTTTCTAAAATTATATTTTTCCACGGATTTAATTATATTTCACTTATTTATTTATTTATTTCACTTGGATAAATTTCAAAACATATGACTATAAAAGTTAAACATGGTATTATATTTAATTTGATACATAAATGAATTATAAGTTCATTTAAATCCATGATAAAGAAAAAATAATTAAAAATAAAAATAAGTAGTTAAACATAATTAATAACTAAGAAAATATGTAAAAAAGATAAAAAAGAAAATGTTGAAATAAAATAGTGCCAACCGACAAGGAAAAAATAAATAATTAAAAATAAAAATAATCAGTTATAAGTGATTAATAAATAGAAAATCTGCAAAAAAAAAAAAAAAGGAGAAAATAAAAAGGAGAGTGCCAACCTAGCTTCTTGAAGTTTTTCTTTTTTTGTTTTTATTTCCTATTAAAGAGATGAATGTCACAGTAGAAATTTAAACTTTCATTTTGTTGACGTTGACATAAAGATTAATGATAATTGATAAAAGGTTCGATTTGAAAAATATAGTTATTATTAATAAAAAAACTTTAAAATAAAGCATAGATTATGGATAATATAATCTAAAAGGATAAAGGTTTATAAATTCTTGATAAAATGAAAATAAATAATTAATAAATAAATAATCTATAAAAAAAGGAAATACTTAGATAGAGGAGTGCCGATTGAGAAGGGAAAATAAATAATTAAAAATAAAATTAAGTAGTTAAAAATGATTAATGAATAAAAAAAAATGAAATACCGAGATAGGACAGTGTAGCTCAGCTTTTGAAGTTTTATTATTATTATTTTTTTGCTTTCATAATTATACTGATATATAGACAGATTAGTGAAATAGTTTTTTTAATTTTTCTAAAAAGAAAATCAAAATTTAAAATTAGGTGCGGGGTTTAATAGAATTGTTTAAAGTGTCATTTTTTTTAAATTTAGTACTATGTGATTATATGTCATTGGTGTTAATCATGATTCTAATTTTTTTTTTTTTTTTTTTATATGTCATTGGTGTTAATCATTGATTTCTAATTTTTTTTTTTTTTTTTAGTTACATGAGAAAAGCCAAGAAAAAAGGACTACCAAATCATGATAATGAGACTACTTGATCTTTTTTTTTTAATAAAATAAAGGATACGGGCTAAAAAAATCGTCATAAATAAAATATAAATTCAATTTATGTTTTTTTTTTTTTTTTTTAGTTACATGAGAAAGCAAGAAAAAAAGGACTACCAAATCATGATAATGAGACTACTGATCTTTTTTTTTTTAATAAAATAAAGATACGGGCTAAAAAATCGTCATAAATAAAATATAAATTCAAATTTATGAATAGATAATCTAAAATTTTCTCATGCATTATAGTTTAATTTCATATGTCCAAATTCTAAAAATAATTGTGCTTTAATTTATAAATAAGCATTTTATTGTTAACTTATTAAATTAAACAATTGAAATTATATTTTAATTTTAAAATATCATAACAAATAATGACGCATAAATACTTTGTACACTGACTAAAAGGAGATCAATTTATTTCAAAATCAAATTAAAATTATTATTAATGCAAAATGATTAAAAATTTTTAAAATGTCTTTTAAACTTTCAAATTGTAGGCCTAACTAAAAACTGAGGGTTTACACGTGAGCTGCATGCTTTATAATAAGATAAAAGAACTGAATAAAATATTAAAAAAATATAAAATTTATATGTAAGTAAATACGTGGACTTGATTGTGAATTTGTGATAGGGATGTAATTTAATTATATATATATATGAAACTGAACAGATCATAAATTAATATTAAAATTAATAAAATAAATAATAATAGTAATTGCTTTTATTTGTTCCAATTAGAAAGTTTTTCTTTTCTAATTTAAACTTGACATACAATCCCTTCATAAATTAATTTTTCTCTAAGTATTACTCCACTTTTATAATTAATAATCAAAAAAATCCAAACTTCTTTCAAAAATAAAATAAAATAAAAATTATAATATTTTAATTAATTAATAATTAAATATTTTTGTTAATTACATTAAAAATTATTTATTTTATATTTAATTGAATTAGACTTTTAATCTTTACTGTAAAATTAGAATAAAAAGATTTTTGAGTAAATTATACGATGTAGCATTATTTCAAAATTTTATTCAAGGCACGGATTTATTTTGAATAATAAAATAATAAACAGAGAGTTGAAATTGGATAGCTGGAATATGTAATGACCACTGAGAAACTATCCACTGTTTCGCATACATCCAAGTAAACTGCACCTCAGAGATTTTATAGTACCTTTAAACAAGTTGACTCGCGTTCACGTGGCAATGGAAAAATTATTGATCCCATCCCGTGATTTATGATTTCAAGCACTCTGCCACGTGGGACACACTCATCGTTTATTTAGCATACTGCGAAGCACAATATACAAGCTCCATTTCTGTAAATTTATTATTGCCACTGGGATTTTATCAATTTTTTATAAGTATAAAAACTACCATCCAATCATTCATTTATATCAACCTTTTGTCTCTCTATACAAAATAAATAAAAAAAAATAAAACTAATTTTTTAATTCTAAAATAAGAATGTAAATAACAAAAAGCCTATTGCTTGTGCAAGGCGTCATTGCTAGTTTGAGGGATTTTTCTATATTTAAAGAAATACTCACTTCGTTCTCATTCCCAACCCTCTCCTATCCTATTTGTTCTCGGAGACCCATCATTTCAATACAGAAAAACAAAGAAAGCAACAGGGAAAGAAAAGGAAATATGGAAGAGACCAAGTCAAGGTTTAAGAGAATTTGTGTCTTTTGCGGTAGCAGTTCAGGCAAGAAAGCTAGCTACCAAGATGCTGCTGTTGAGTTGGGCAAGGAACTGGTAACAATATACATATACATATACATGTATTATCTACCTTTATATATATTTAAGTCATTCATTTCGAAAAGCACAAACGAAAAATCCTAATTTAAACCCATTTGTGTTTTCTCATTTTTCTTTCTGTTTCTGGGTTTTAGAAACCAATACCCAATTTTTATTTTTTATTTTTTTTAAATTTCGGATCCATTATTAATGCAGATTTTTCAGTTCCCAGTTTTATGTTTTGGGGATTTTTTTAAGATTTAATGTGAGGTTTCTTCAAATGGGTAGTGCAATGAAATTCTGTTTTCATTTTTCTTCTCTAATTTTCTGCCATTGATCATAAAGTGTTTGTTGTTTTGTCAAATTAGTTATTTTAATTATTTGATTTCAATTCTGAAGTGATTTGCAAGTTGCAACAAACAAGGTCTGAACGTGGGCTTATGATTGTTTTTGGGTTAATTATGCTATTAAGGGGGAGAGAGAAGAAGGTTTTAGGGTTTATGTTTGGCATGAAAGGATGCTAGCTGTAACCTGCCTGTCAGTTGAGCAGACTTCTTGCATGATCCTTTGTTTTTTCTCCAATTTTAATTAAAACATATAATAAAACCCATTTTAAAAATTTCCATTAAAACATATAATAACACCCATTTTAAAACCCATTAAAAAAAAATTTCTTCACAACAAGATTAAAAAATTGCTTGCTTGTTTCTGGGGAACCAAACGTGCGATCTTGGTATCATGACTTCTTATAAGCATGTTCTTGCACTTATAAAGGACCAAAGCTCCATAATTTTTGTTTATGGAGGTTTGCTTATTTCAGTCAGTATAAGGGGGACTTGCAGCTTATTATTACTGTCGTTGTCATGTAACTCATAACAGTAATTTTTGTTGTGTTGGTGTTGATGATTGGAATTCGTGACACTTGTTAATGGGGTTTGGTTTTCGATGAATTTTCAAGGTGGACAGAAGGATTGATTTGGTCTATGGAGGTGGGAGCGTGGGATTGATGGGTCTTGTTTCTCAAGCAGTTCATGATGGTGGGCGCCATGTTCTAGGGTTAGTCTCTTTCTCTCTCTCACTCCCTATTTTCTTTTTCTTATTTGGTCTTTATCTTGGAATGTCAAGTAATAATATTATTAAGAAAAGAAAGAAGAGAAAAGGATTGGTTTGTTTCAAAAGACAAGCATCATTTTTTCTCATGATGGTTACCTTCTCTCAAGGGAGTTTGAAATGGGTTGTTTGTATTCATTATTATTATTTTCTTTCTCACTTGTCTGAACCAACGCAAGTTTCCCAATTTTCTATGAAAATGGAGTTTTCTCTTTTCATTTCTCCAACCTGCTTAATGGCAAACATCATGGGACCTTGCAGCAATAAGTGAATTCTGCAGTTTTTCTTTTTAATTCCTTGCTTTAAAAAGTTGATACTAATTAGCTCTAACTGATCAATAGTAATAAAATGAAATGTTTTTTAGATGGTAAAATTTCGTGTTCTAATCCAATTGTTAACCCCCTTATATATTAGTGATAAATTGGCTTTGGAGTTACTTACAAGTCTTGAGATTGTGAGTTTCAATCCAAACTTAATTAACCAAAAGAAAAAGAACATGACCCTTCTATGTTGATGATGAATTAGCGTTTATAGGGAGTCTGGACAGGTACCCTACCTTAATGATCATTTTTTCAGGAACATGGTCTATGCTGCACAGTACAGTATACTTATCTATAAGTGTTTGATAGTTAATGTTGAGGAAGGTAGTCTTTTAGTAGTCTGGGTAAAGCAAAATCTGTTTTGGTCCTTGCAATGTCAGTCCAATACCGTGTCTTCCTGTTAAGAAAAAAGGAAGCTGAAAAGCTTTGTTAGAAAAGTATGTAACCTTTAGGGCAGTGATTAGAGACTAGAGTACTTTTCTTCTTTCTTTCTTTCCGAATTAAAAAGAAAAAAAAAAAAGGTCGTGTTCATGAATAGTTTAAAAGGATCACCACTAGACGCTTTATCTTACAAGAGTAAAAAGACCCTCTTACCCTTTGTCAAATTTTTTATATCAGTGCTTTCTTTTTCTATTTCTCTTTCTTATTACTTCAAGTAAATGGCCTTTACTTATAGTTTTTGATTCTTTTGCAGGGTTATTCCAAGGACACTAATGCCTAGAGAGGTGAGTTGATACAGTAGTAGTAAAGTGGGAATTTTTTTGTGCCCTTTTAATATTATAGCGTGCGATAATTAATCTTTACTAGGGTGTAACTGCCTTTCCATAGAAAGGGAGATTACTTTTTGTGATAGATAACTGTATGCCTATTGCTGCATTTATTTTGCTTTGAGGACAATAATAATGTAATAAGCCCATTTGATTCTTTGTTTACAGGATAAATTGTTAAAATAATTTGTGGGAATTTGTTTTATTGATTTGTTTTTTAGAAAATTATTAAATTAACTTAGTGATTAATTAGTAACATAAGATAATATGGTTGCAGATAATCGGTCAGACTGTTGGAGAAGTGAGAGCCGTCTCTGATATGCATCAAAGAAAAGCTGAGATGGCACGTCAAGCTGATGCCTTCATTGCTCTTCCTGGTAAGGGTTTTGAATTTCTTTCATAAATTTCTCTTTGTCGGGTCTTAGATATGATCCATAAATCATGATTATCGGTAATTGACAAGTAATTATATATTATAATCATCACATGTTACCTTTATAATTACAGGGGGCTATGGCACTCTTGAAGAATTGCTTGAAGTCATTACATGGGCTCAGCTTGGCATTCATCGAAAACCTGTAAGACATTTGTTCCTCTTGCTCCATTTTTCTATTTGTTGTGTTTAGGTTTTGAAGTGTTATCTACATGCCAGCTTCTTTTGACCAAAAATGAAAAATTTGCGATAAAAATTGAGTTATATACGAAAAATAATGACGAAAAATCAAATGTCAAAAACGGCAAATAACAAATTTCAATTGAGAGAGAGACATGTTGGAACACATTATGTTTTTCGGTTTTGGTTTATTAAAATTTAATACCTTACAAAAACCTTTCTGATAGAAGTACTAATATTGATATAACTAACTAATTTTCTTCTAAAATCATATGTTAATGATTGTACCAAAGGGACAATGATTGTCATTTTAGGGTTCTTAAAATCAGAACAAGAAACTCATGAGAAGTCAACAATCAATGCTTTAAAGGTAGGTTTCCTATTTTATAGGAGAAAGTAATTAAGATCTTAATTATAGGAATAAGAGAACTAGTATAAAATAAATTTAGAAGAAGTTGTAAAAATAAAGAAAAGGGCTTTGAGTGTGGTAGAGAGAATCCTAAGTAACAACTATGGCCAATATGTTCCCCGCAACCCACTTACTATTTTTTTTTTTAAAAAAAAAAAGAAAGAAAAAGAAACTATCTGATTAAGGGAATCAAAGACAATAAATATATGGGTTTGATACTTTGAACAACCAATTGTATTGTAATGGGCTCGTACAACTGAATTTTAAATGCTATTTTCAAACCCTCTTACAGAAAAACATTTATGATAGACTCCAATTGTTGCATAGACATGATGTCGTTATTTGGTCTGAAATTAGAACAAATGTACAAAGTTCACACGTCAATTAAAATATTTGTAGCTGGTCTCTAAAGCTAAATGAAACATGTTTGATGTGTTGTGTTTCTTGAGTACATATTAGTGTTTCATGTACTTAAATGAAAAATATCTAGATGTTCCCCTTTTTTTTTTTTTCTCTTGGTCAATAAATTTCATCAATCAATCTTGTTAGATAATTAAGCTAGAAGCTTCAAAGAATCAAATCATGTGGTATTCACATGGAAAGATAACTTAAGATATGCTTTTCCAATCATAATCATGGTTCATGATTTGAATTAATTTATTTATTTAAATCATATATCTCCTTTGGAATGGGAGAGAAAAATTCTAAAGTAGACATAAAAAAAAAATGCAAAAATCTCTGGTCAAAAGGAGGTGCTTGTTAGGTGAGTTACTTTACTAGTTGTTTATCTGGAATTCTAGATGTTGAGACTTTGATGTTGTAGTTTAAGCAATGATTAACCTTTATTTTAATTTTTTTTAACAACTTTTTTGCAGGTGGGTCTACTGAATGTCGATGGGTTCTATAACTCGTTATTGTCTTTCATTGATAAGGCCGTTGATGAAGGCTTCATATCGCCAACTGCACGTCGTATTATTGTTTCGGCACCAACTGCCAAACAATTGGTCAGGCAACTTGAGGTAAACAATTTTTTCTTTTCAAAATATATGTAGATGCCTCTATTCCCTGATGAAGGCTTCATATCGCCAACTGCACGTCGTATTATTGTTTCGGCACCAACTGCCAAACAATTGGTCAGGCAACTTGAGGTAAACAATTTTTTCTTTTCAAAATATATGTAGATGCCTCTATTCCCATGTTTTCCCATTTCTTTATAAAAATAAACTTTTAAGGCATTGCGTAATCAACTTATAGCTTAATAATCGAGTGTTATTATGCAATGAAAATCGGCTTTAACGAGCTCTCGATATTTCAGAAAGAAAAAAAATTAGTATTTGAATAAGAAATATTAACTTTTTAGTTTTTTTTTTGTATGCAACAGGAATACGAACCGGAATATGATGAATTAACATCGAAGCTGGTGTGGGAGGAAGTTGATAGACTAAATTATGTGCCTGGATCAGGAGTAGCTACATAGTAGCAAAGAGTGGTGATTTTGAAGGGGGTTTTCTACTTTTGGCTAGTCAGTATATACCTTTTTGTTTATATAATATATACATATACGGTATAGAATACCGTAGTAGTCGGAGCACAGGAAGGTATTTCTTTTTTGTCTTTGTGGGGGTGGGAACAGAGCTAGTAAAATGTCTCAAATGTGTCTCAGTCAGACGTATACAATGTTTGAGGGGGAAGGAAAGGAAAAGAAAAGAAAAGAAAAGGTGCTCTTAACTTGCCCTTTTTGTGGAAACTGAGAAAGAAGGAAGGAATCAGTTAAATTAAATTCAAAGCCTTTTATGCTAATTTGTTTTGTTAATCCAAAAACATTTAATTAGAGGGCAGGAGGAGTTTGTAAAGTCAAAATTGTCTATTCCTTTTGAGTGGTCATATGGGTGACTAAAATATATAAATATTCTTTCTTCTTCTTCTTCTTCTTCTTCTTATTTATTTATTTAATTAAATATACACATTGGAAGATGAAGATCTTTCCTGGAAGCTGTCTGTCTTGTTTGTTCTTGTTAGACTTGGTCAAACTATAATGCAACAATTAAGCATTTCTTTGCATTTTTTTTAATTGCTGTTTATTAATTGGCTTGTATGTTTTGGGAAAAACGACAGAAGAATTAGAGTGAAGTTTTACTCTTTGCTCAATTGATCTGTGAATGCTCAATCGAACCGACCAGGCTGTGTTTAATAAGCTACAATGCAATGTAATTAATAATATTTTTAGTATAATGTTTAAGTTAGTGTCTTTAATTATATTAAATTATGTTTTTATCAAACATAAGAGTTGAAAGACAGAGTACTGTCTTATTATAATTAAATTCCTCCGTCCATGACTTGTTATGTCACTTTGCTAAAAAAGAAAATTGCATGGTCTGGTTTCTGCGTTTTGATAGAGAAGCTTGAGAATTTTCTATCCCTTGTCTTTGTTGCCAAATGGAAATTTTTTTTTTTTTTACAATCCATTGATGTAAAGAGAGAAAAAAGTAATTTTTTTTTTAAATACCTAATGTTTCTCTTGAAAAAAGACTCCCAACGTACTAAATACTTGAAGCATAACAATTGTATCGAATGCATGCTTTGACTCAAATCAAACGATTCAAGAAATTAGTTACAAATTTCTTACCATAGTTTTACATTCTAAAGAATTAGAATATAGTGAAAGAAATTAAATATACTGGAAAAATAAAGCAATAGTGGGTAGAGCATTTTATTGAAAATTACATTAAAAAATCATGCATGGAAAATGTTTGGAAATTTAAAGGAAAAAAAAAAAAAAAGACTTGAAAAGATTGGCTTTAAAGTTGTTGTAGGTAGAGTCTTCTTTTGTGTCTTCAAAATAATTTTTTATCTTTATCTTTATCTTGGTTTTTTTTTTTTTACGGAGAAAAATTATTCAAATCAGAATTTATTGTCATTGTCAAGATATACATATATTTATTACTAGACCGTGATTTGTTGTATTTGTCTTTATCTGAGTTAATTATTAAAATTATTTTTTAGCTGTTTAATTTAAATTGTCCACAAGGTAAACATGTAATTAATCCAAATCAAATAATTTATGGATTTTAACTTAAATTAATCAAATGACTTTAAAAAAAATGCAAATATAGTAAACAATTAATATATTAATTAACCATTTCACGTTCAAAAATTAAAAATATATATTAAAACAAAGGTAGAAAAGTAAACGATAAATATTACGCTCTTCTTCCTATTTTATTTGCATTATTTGATAAAACACGCATATTAAAAATTTAGTCATAAAAATTATTTTACCATTTTTTACCCTTCATTAAGATATTAATAAAAAATTTTCATTTAATGAATGATCATAAAAATTATTATGAGAAAAATAATTATTTACGTATATAAATTTAAAAATCTTATAAATACTTTAAAGTATAAAAAAATAATAAATAAGTAAAACGAAGAGGGAGAGAGTATTTTATTTTAAAAAAAATTCAACAAGAATATAGTATAAAAGAAGTGAAAAAGGAAAGTCAACTTTGAGACTAATTGATAAATAATAACTATAACATATAGTAATCATGAATACGTGGTTGCCTATTATTGGTTGAAAGTGTTTCGCGCATAACACATGGAAACGAACTTTGGGTAAATTATTGCAACCTTCAACAAACACAGTACGCATACAATATTCCATTTTTCTGGGAAGATTATTATATAATTAACCACCATTTTATAATTACTTATTCCCTTTGTTCCCTTAAATTTCAGGGTTTTTGACTTTTCACAAGAAATAAAAAATTATTTAATTATTAGAGAAAAATAAAAATAATTGACTAAATCAACTTTTAATTAATATTCATTTAATTGAGACAAAATTTAGTACAATTATCTAAATAAAGTAAAATTTAAAATAAAATAATTAATGTTTTTTTGATTTTTTCTAAAAGTGTCACCTAATTGAAAAAAAAAAAAAAGAAATGTTAAATTTAGATGAATTAGGGAATATTAAGCTGAAGGTGGTGTTCACACGTGAGTCACATGCTTTGTTGTTAATAGAGTTTAATTTTGGTTTGTTTACTAATTGATTACTGTAATCCATCAAGATTGTTAGCTTGTCAAACAAATATCTGGTCAGCAAATCCAATGCTCTTGATTTTGTTTGATTAAACTTAGATTTGGGATATAATCTACTACTCTATTAAACTCCTAAACCTCCAGGTTTATGGGGTGTAGATTATTTTGATACTCATCGAATTTTTAATCGTAATCGTAATCGTAATGTTCGCTTGTTGGTGGGTCAATTTTTTTATTTGTTGCCGGAAGGAAACACTGACGTGTCTCATTAAAAGAAATGGAGTCTTCTTCAAGCCTTTGAATCTCCTATCTCACCTTAGGTACTGTTAATTAAAAATTAAAAATGAGATTAAAGGCATAAAAATAATTACTTTTCTTGTAAACAAGAATCTAATTGGTTTTCAATTTTCAAAAAAAAAAAAAAAAAAAAATACCTTTGTTAATTTAAAAATTAAAAATGAGCATTAAAGCGCATACAAAATAAACTACTTTTCTTGTAAACAAAAGAAATCTAATTGGCTATTTCAATTTTCAAAAAAAAAAAAAAAAAAAAATCTAATTGTTTTGCACATTTCACACGTCTACTTGAATCAAAGCTGAAGTTATAATTATTAATGTGTTATACGAATTTTTTTTATTAAAAGAAAATTCATCTTGAATTATAGCCGCATTTTTTTTACAATTAACACTGCATATGACAAAGTTAAAGTCATTTCTCAACATCAAACCATTATCTCAAAGTTCCTATACACCAAAAACATAAAATCATAGTGACTAAGCCAAAGATTTTGATGTTAGGTGCTCAAAAAAATTTTGAAAAATCTAAAAGGGCAAAGTAACAAAAAAGTAAAATCTTTCACTAAATTATAGTAGCAAATTTAAGAAAAGGGGGCAGAAAGCAATTCGCCCATGCTTACTTTTGGTTAAAAAACACCAACTAAAAATTTCTAAAAAAAAAAAAAAAAAAAAATCTAATTGTTTTGCACATCAACGTCTACTTGAATCAAGCTGAGTTATAATTTATTAATGTGTTATACGATATTTTTTTAATTAAAGAAAATTCATCTTGAATATAGCGATTTTTTAAATTTAACACTGCATATGAAAGTAAAGTCATTCTCAACATCAAACCATTATCTCAAGTTTATACACCAAAAACATAAATTTATAGTGATAACCAAGATTTGATGTTAGGTGCTCAAAAAAATTTTGAAAAATTAAAAGGGCAAAGTAAAAAGTAAAAAATTTCACTAAATTATATAGCAAATTAAGAAAAAGGGGGCAGAAGCCAATTCGCCATGTACTTTTGGTAAAACACACTAAATTTTTTAAGGACCTATTTTACAATTGGTAAGATTATACAATAATCCATGCTAGCAACAAGCAATTTAAATATACAGTTAATACGATTTTTAAAATAATGATTTTCACATTTTAGTATCGACTAAGTATTTAATTAATTTAAAGTCGGATTATTTAAAGCATCCATTGGATCAAAATAAAATTTTAGAATACTACATAATTTTTCATAATAAAAAGCACAGGTAAATTTATACATTTAGGCCCCGAGTTTGTACTTACTTGTGTGTCAAAGGTGAATTCCTTTTTTGCCCTTTAATTTTAACAAACCAAAAGTTGCCCCCCAAGAAAACATCATTCGATTGTATATAGACTTTCAATATTAGCTGGATTATGTTTCATACAAGCACGTAATAAATAAGAAACAAAGTGAAGCCATTTTGTTTGCTGCATTAATTAATTGACAAAAACAACCAAGTCGAGTTCTCTGCAAAGCACTTATTCCGGAAACTGCTCATCAAAGCTCTTTAACAAAAATTACATGAAAATGGAAAAAAAATTTACATCTCCTATCTGAAATTGATTGGAAAATTTGGAATTTATTGCTAACCCCTCTATATTGCCGCAAAGTACTCCTTGCTCAGCTTTGGGTCTGGCTTCATCGACTTCTCACCAGGCTTCCACCCTGCTGGGCAAACCTCATCTGGATTTTCTTGCACATATTGCAGTGCCTGATGCAAACGCAAAAGCAACGAACAAGAATGTATTAGATCATAACCAGTTGTATCCTAAATAGCATTTCTAAAGTTCTACAAACTGAGTCAAGCTTTGTCAATAATATCTTTCAATTTTAGATAATATTTATCATGTGTTTTTTTATCACAATCACCTGGAGTGTTCTCAATGTCTCATCAACACTACGCCCAATAGCAAGATTGTTAATGGTGGAGTGTTGGATGACTCCTTCCTTGTCAATAATGAAAAGTCCTCTCAAAGCGATTCCCTGACATAATACCAAATGTCACAAAAGAGAAGCATGAAAAGAGGTGTTATAAACTCCATAGCAGTAAAGGGACAGCTGTGATAAAATATGAGAACATGGATCCAACACATTAACTAGAACAGCATTCTGGCTCGACTTAACAATATTGCCGGAGAGGACAACATGCACAGGCTACATAATTGGATAGTGCAAAACAAAAGTATCAAACAATAAGACTGTTAATGCATGAAAAGCACATTTTGTGTGTGGGCACGTGCACGCATGTGTCCTTGCAAATTTATCAAATGAACTAAACAAGGAAAAGATAGAAAGGAAAATAAACAAAAACCATTATGCTATTAAGAACAAGATTAGACAAATATGGATATATTTATACCTGATCAGGGATTAGCACACCGTAAGATTTTGAAATTGACTTGGTGACATCAGATATCAAGGGATAGTTCAAATCTCCAAGACCACCTGACTTCCTATCAGTTTGAACCCATGCAAGGTGGGAGAACTACAGATAGAGTAGCATAAGCGATCAGGATCAACAAGCGAGTAATATTAGATTTTAACCTAAAAGCATAAGAAGCTCTGCAAAGCATTCTACAACACCTAGTTAAAATTGTAATTACGCAATGCATGGCATTACTAAAGAAAGACAAAAACCTAAAATAACAGTATTCAGCAATGGTAAGAATGCAACCTCAACTAACTCTAGTTATAAAGGAATATTTTTTACAGGCAAAATCTACGGAGTTAAATACCAAATTGGATTTGACACCTCTCTATTCTCACATCAACCAAAAAAATGGATAAGGTACTCAAGGCAAGGTTAAGTGGGTAAAAAAAATATGAAAAATTTACAAAAAAATTTTCATTGGCAGCTAATGCCCATTTAAATTCTATCACATGAAAAAGCATAGACGATCTACTTGGTTTAAAACAATATTCTAAATGAGATTGTCTGGGATCATTTAAAGATAGAGAAAAATAAATATCGCCATACAAACAAATCCACAATCCACCATTATCAAGGAGATTTTCTAAAGCCATAATCTCAATGAGTATACATGCCACAAGCAGCAGTGCATTAGATAAAACTAAAACTAAATATAAAATCATTATCATTGCAAGATAAAATAAAGGAAGTCTATGGTTTTTCTTCATGATAAGAAACTTACCACACTGTCAACTGAAACACCCAATATTTCAGTGTTTAGCTTCTCAAACTCACCATAACGGTCACTGAAAGCAGTGATCTCTGCACACAAGAGGGTTATAATGAGAGTATAATAATCAGCATTGAGCATCCACTGTAACCTAAATTTGTAAAATTTTTATTTGTGTCCAACAGACCTGTGGGGCAAACAAATGTGAAGTCCAACGGATAGAAGAAGAGAATCACATATTTCTTCCCAATATATTCTGAAAGTTTAACCTGAAACACCAACAAATCAGTCAAAGTAGAATAGAAATATGTTACACACAACACAGAGTAGCATCCATGAGGTTATAAGAATACAATCTATCTTCTCATAACAATTTTCACAATGTAGCTTAAATATAATATCATCTACAAGGTGGACTGCAAAGTCATCTTCCCTAACAAATTAACAATTGACAACCTAAAATAAATTACTAAAAGACCATAATCCAGTTACAGTCCCATCAAACTGGAGCCCTCTGGAAAGAATTAACATAGAGTCCTATCATTCAACATTTTTAGCAACAACTAGTTGCTGTCTGCAGTCACATAGCTGCGACCCCCTCCAAACCATGGAAGAATGACTAACTATAGAAATTTGTATATGTAAACCCAAATTTCTCCAGATTCAAGACATTTTTACAAATGAACATGTAATAGAACATCTCAGTATTATTTATTTAACATTAGTTTGATAGTTGCAGAAACAATTCATAGCCAAACTAACACTTCACTTATTCGCCTCATTACACTTACCTTAATGAACTCCTGGTCAAAAACAGCCTCCGCCTCAAAATCAGGTGCTGTATTTCCGACCAGCGGAGCTTCACCCTGCACAAAGAGATACAAAAACGAAAAAGAAACTACATTACAGAGTTGTATTATGAAATATAATTATCGCTATATGTGACACGTTAATACTCTAATCAACCAATTTTTGACTTTAAAAACAACGAATCTAAAAAGAAACACTCACACTGGCCTTTACAATAAAACTCTTCCCCGAATGAGAGCCACGAGCCATTGATATGGATCGTGGGGCGCGGGATTGGAGCGGCTTGCGGTGGCCGAAGAAGGATTTGGGGAGAGTTAGGTTTTGAGAGGATTTACAGATAGGAGAAGCCATAGATTTGGTAGTGGCGGCGATTGAGGAGATGAGTCCGGTGGTTGAAGTAGCGGAGCAAGCCATTTCTTCAACTTCAAAGCTCTCTGTATCAAATCTCTCTCTTCACTGGTTATTATTACACTGTCACAATTCAAAGTCTAAGGTGGAGAAATTGTAGGTGAAGATAATATCCTCCTCCAGAGAGTTAGGTCTTTAATGGATTGGGCTTTATATCAAAATTAGTGGGCCCAACCCATAAAACATTAGGCCTTAGAATCAGATAGCATTCGCTCACCATCCTCAAATCGTAATCTTGAAGCCTTATCCTTACCCCCAACAAGTCACAACTTTCTTTCATTTTTTTCTTTTTATATAATTGAAAATTATAAATAAAAAAATAATAGTACCATTTCTTCTCTCTCACAACTTCACAAGGCAGAACCCCAATCCGCCATGTAACAATGCAAAAGCAACTCCATTTTCTCTCCAACCACAAATCCTCATTTACTTATCCTAAAACGCACAATTTTCCTTCTCCTCGCCATGATTTTCCCTCATTTTCTTGCTCACGAACTCTTCACTTTCCCTCCCTTTCCTCCAAAACAAACACAGTTTCCCTCCCTCCTAAGCCTCCCAAATCAACAGAAATGCCTCCGGTTCCTGCACCTATTAATAATCCTTCTCCTTCTCCGCCGACGCCGCCGTCTCCGCCGTCCCCGTCGACGGCTTCCAATGCCGATTTTCAAGAGAAAATGCTCTACCTCGATTCAATTGGCCTCGACATATTCTCTCTCGTCGACCACCACTGTCAGCTCATCCTCTCCGCCTCGCTTGCGGACATAAAATCGATTGTTGATTTATTTACTTCTGTGAACTTCACCGCCGTCGAATTCCGCCGGATTGTTTCTATGTGTCCTGAAATCCTCGCCTCCAATGCATCAACTATCCTCGCTATCTTCACTTTCCTTCTCCGAGAAGCCCGCGTTAACGGCTCCGACATCAAGCGAGTAATCAATCGAAGGCCCAGATTGCTGGTCTCCAGCGTCAAACACCGGCTGCGTCCGACCTTATATTTCCTCCAAAGCATTGGCATAGAAGAGGTAAACAAGCATACATATCTACTTTCTTGTAGTGTGGAGGACAAATTATTACCAAGAATTGAATATTTTGAGAAAATGGGATTTATTTTCAGAGATGCTAAGGCCATGTTTAGAAGGTTTCCTCCATTGTTCAATTACAGTATAAAAGAGAATATTGAGCCCAAATTGAATTATTTTGTGGTGGAAATGGGGAGAGATTTGAAGGAGTTGAAAGAGTTTCCTCAATACTTTTCATTTAGTTTAGAAAATAGGATTAAGCCAAGACACCAATCTTGTGTAGAGCAAGGTGTGTATTTTCCACTGCATGCTCTATTAAAGACTAGCGAGGAGCAATTTCTGGGTAGATTGGAAGTCTGTTGTAATTCTTCAATTCCATTGAGCACTTCTCCATTGTCATGTACAAATTATCATGTTGATTCTAATATAGAATAATTTTTGAAAAAATATTCGAAGTACTGACTTTCTTTCAAACCCTTGATTATTCAGATCCCCATTGTTCAATCAGACTGTTCTGAAATACTTTTCAGCTTGATTCAGCAAATTATGTGAACCAGAGAATTGATGAAGTTCTTCATCATTATTCATTAATAAGGTTTTGGGTTGTTCGGCAAAGTTAGCTGATACAGTACTGTTCTGAAATACTTCGCTTGGATTATTTGATTAGGCTATATTTACTCACTCCAAATGGAATTACTAATAGAGTTATTACCATTGGAATGTGATCACCTGCAAATTAATTCCATCCACCCATAGCCAGAAAAATTGAATCAGGAAATGAAAGCTTCAACTTGACATTTGGATGCAATGCTTTAATAAACAAATGATTTGAGAGTTTCTTGTACATTTCAAGTGAAGTTGTACAATCCTTTTATCGTGGAGAAACTGAATTTTCATGTAGGAGTCACTTATATAAGGTGTCATTTAAACAATACAGTAGCATTTTTAAAGCCTGCCAACAATTAGTAGTTGCGAAATGAAGAAATTGGCAAAAATTTATTGACTGAAAAGGCAATCTCAGTTCTGGTTATGGTGGCACATTGAAGTGCTTCAACAAGTTGATCAGCATTTGGAATTAAACGCACATTTAAACGACGCAAACTGATATCTTTAGTAGTGAAATAAGGAAAAATATCCAAGTTTTCTTTCATGTTTGAAAGTCAATAATCATCCATTATAGATTAAGGATGGTTGTACTAAACAATGAACACGATAAAAAAGAAAAAAAAAATTCATTAGAAAATATGAATTTAGATTTTTCATAAACATAATTATTTATCTTTAAGAGAATCAACTTTTGAAATAATACAAAATTAGTCAAATGTCCGGGCGTTAGAATGTACAATTTTATTTTTTTAAGAACTTTAAATAACATTACTTTTTAACAACATATTATTAATAACATATGTTATTGTGAGCGAGAGAATTGAGAATATATATAGATGAGTAGAACAAATAATGAATTCAATGAATTTATCATTAAATACAATAAACTTATTATTAAGTTTATTAATTATTAAATACAATAAACTTATTATTAAGTTTATTAATTATTGAAAAGAAATCGCAAAAATCAATTGTTAGGGGCCGATAATTTGTTGAAAATAGAAAATTAAGAGTTTTATAATTTAATTTTTTTTTAATTAGATAATCAAATAAAGAATAATGAAAAAAAATTCATGCAAGCAACTACATTCTTAATATTGTGTCACATCATCCAAAAAGGATTCAGCTTTTATATATTTAGATAGATAGATTATATGTATCTTTTAATCATGGATTCTTTTTTCTCAAAAATAATATGAGGAATGATGATAAAAATTTTGATTTGATTATATTTTTCTTATTTATAAATTTAGTAAGTAGGATTTTATTGAGATATATTTATAAAAACAATTATAAGATAGTTATTAAGTTGACAAGACGTGAAATCTATGGATTTTGTAAAATTAATGTGGAATTTTATATTTTATTATTTGGGATCGTTTGTTTCCGTAAAATAATTTATAAGAAAATATTTTTTCAATTTTTCATTGTTTGAGGCATTTAGGAAAATAAATCAACGGAAAATATTTTACTGGCCAAAGAAAAATTAACTCATTTTTTAAAGAAAATAACTTCTCATTTTCAAGAGAGTAAAATATTTTTCAGATATTGATAAATTTTATAAATCCATATTTTTTAATTCATTAATCATTGTAGACACTATCATAGTCATTATTTACCAGCGACTACCACCACTGGCTACCACTACCGAGGCTTTCATAATTTTTATATATATTTTTTGCATTCTTCTCATATTTAACAATAAGATTTTTAAATTATAAAATTTCTATTATTATTGATATTTTTATGGTACTAATTCTTTTTATGACGTGCGATGCATGTTGACTATACTTGTAATTATATGCTGATTTTTATACTCATTTATCCTTTCTATTTATATAATTAAAATATAAATTATTATTTAGATTACAATAAATATAGTGGTTTAATATATATAGTAATTTTTTTTAATTGTATATCTTAAACTGTAATATCTCATTAAAAAATTTGATATATTTGTTTCTCACTTTAAAATAGTAATTTAAATAAGAAATATGTCATCTATATGATCTCCAATATAGTGGTTCATATATATTTTATTATTCGCTAGTTGCTTTTATTTTTTTATTTAACTACCAAATTGATTTATAAAAATTATCATATAACTTTTATTTTCTGTTTTATAATTAACTTACATGTTTTGTTAATAACTTTCACTACAATCTATTTTAGTAAATAAATATACTTTAACAATAGAAAAAAAATTAATATAATATATTAAATTAAATATTTTTTTATGCGTACTTAATTTCTTTTATGAACGTGCGATGCATGTTGACTATACTTGTAATTATATTTTTGCTGATTTATATACTCATTTATCCTTATCTAATTATATAATTAAAATATAAAATTATTTATATTAGATTGACAATAAAATATAGCTGGTTTAAATATATGATAGTAATTTTTTTAATTGTTAAATTACTTAAACGCTAATATCTCCATTTAAAAAATTGATATATTGTTCTCACTTTAAAATAGTAATTTAAATAAGAAAAATATGTTCAATCTACTATGTATCCTCCAAATACTGTGCCGTTCATATATATTTTTATCGATTCGCCTTAGTATGCCCTTTTTCGTATTTTTTTATCTTAACTACCAAAATGAACTCTTATAAAATTCATCATATAACTTTTATTTTCTAGCTTTTATGTCTAGATTAACTTACATGTTTTGTTAATAAACCTTTCACTACAATCTATTTTAGTAAAAAATATTCACTTTAACAACTAGAAAAAAAGATTAATATAATAAATTAATATTTAAATACTTTATAAAAACATTATTTTTTATTTTTATTTTTCTATTCAATCCAAAATCATGAATATCATTTAAACCAATTTTTATGAATAAAATTACTATCTTCCTTAATAGAATTGAATAAAAATTTGAAATTAAACTCAATATATTCAATATAGATTCAAATCAAGATTTGCAGATGTCTTAAAAAAATAAAATAATTTTTCTATCCTTTATTTTTTAACAAACCCACAATTAAGAGGTGCAATTTCAGTAATTAAAAAAATTTGAACTATAGCCCTTTTAAAATTAAAAATCCTTAATTATTTAGATATTAATTTTTTAAAAAAAATCACAAAATAAAAATTTTCAAAATGCCTACTCTCAAACCAATACTTTTTCAAAATGCCTCATATTTACCACATCATTCATTTCAAAATTAATGAATATGCAAGATAAATGTATAATAAAGTAGAATCAACAATAAATAATAATAATAATTATTAAATTATTAAAATATTATCATTAAATTATCATAATAATATAATTACAAACTATCAATATTAATCAGACATAAATAAGCATACAAATAATACAAAAATTTTCACAAATTTTGAAATGGTTTCAACTTATCTCATATGTACTTTATACTATTAGATAAAAAAAAAGTTTAAAAAACATTACGAATCAAATTATAGGAGATAATATATATATATTTATGGTTAAAAATGTTTAATTGACTACCAAGATTATTACAGCTATCTTAAAATTCTATCTAAAAGACAATATAATGAACATCTTCATTATTTCCTCTCCTTATTCTCAAACTTTTGTATTAAAATATCAGCATCAGATAGATACAATACCATAAGATATTAATAATGAATAATAATAACTATATTATATATATTTTTCTAAAAACTTTAAAATTCTCAATTGCTTCATCTCAATACCCACACCCACACATGTTTCAATCTATTTAAAAAATAGAATTTTAAAAACTTAAAAATTTGAAATTATGAACAGACTTAATTATAATATTCTCATTTGAATTTACTTTTTTTAAAAAATATATTCCAATCCAATTTATACCAAACATAAAGAAAAATCAATATTATTAAAATAACTTTATATTCTTTTTTAAGATTATGTTCTAAACTTAGAATGTTCTTAAAATCTATAATACAAAATATAAAATCCAAAATATAATCAAATATTTAAAAATATATTCTAGTTTGTTTTATGATGTGCGTCGCTCGTTTTTGTTGCCAGTTTAATACTCTTAATTTATACTTATTTATTTTCATATACAATGTTAACTATTTATTATAATTTCTCTCTTATATGGTGTATATCTTTTTAATGTTAGAATTTCATCTTTTTATTGTAGATGCATAAATAGTTTAAAATAAGTTAAATATTCTAATCAAGTTAAATCTAACTAAATTTAGGTAATTTATATTTAAAATAATTGATTTTAATAATTTGTATATCTTTTAAGTTTAAAAATTATTTATACAATTTATCAATTTAAAAATATTAATTTAAATATAATTACTTAATAAATAAAAAATTTGAACTCCAATGAATTTTAATTTATACTAAATATAAAAAATATTTAAATTTATATTTAAATTATATAAAATTCATTTAGACCAAATAAGATTCAAATAAAATCATTAATATTTCATAGAACTTATGAATAGTTACAAAAATTTTAATTAATATTTCATAGAACTTATGAATAGTTACAAAAATTTTAATTTTTTACATGTTTGACTTTATTATATATGATATTGTAAAGAAATTTTCCTTCACAATTTTTAATCAAGTGGTTTTACTTAATAAAATGAGGGATAACTTTTGAAACTAATTTTAGGTAGGTAAACATATAGGATCACCTTATTTTGAAACCATACCGAATTAAATAAAATTAAAATGAATTTTCAAAATGAAAACAGCTTCAAATTAAATATAGTTCAAAATTTAATCAGTTCAATCGGTTTTACATGCACTTTTAAGTTGGTCAATTTAAGCCTTTCACTAAAAACAAAAACTGAATAAAAAAAATTCAGTTGATCCATGCAAACTAAAAACCAACCTAAATAAGTTTTACCCGATGTTAAAATCCTTAAAATTAGAAAACATCCCTAAAATTGCAAAGGGATATAAGTTCACTTTTTTTAAAATAATCTTAGACCATTAATTAATATAATATTTAATTAATTAATCTAATAATAATATTTTTGAACATATTATTAATCTAATAATAATATTTTTGAACATATTGAATAACTCCAACTAAGTGCAAAATTGACAAAGCATATCGTCCAATTCCTTTCTACTTACTATTTATCATTTTCTTTCTCTCTTTATTTTTAGTTATCTGATATGGGATAAATGGTTTAAACTTGATATATATATTTCACACAAATATATTCAAGATAAAATTAAAAGAACTATCAAATTTCACATAAACTATTAGATCAATTAAATATTTATTATTTTTATTATTGTATAAGATTTTTTTACCTTTATTGCCATATTCCAATTATTTCTAAGAGTATTATAAAAGAAAAATATCACATGTTTTTAATAATAAAAAAAGAAAAATATTAGGTAATTATTTTTTATCTTAGATAATCGTCTATAAAGAAAGTGAAGAAAAAAATTAATTAAATATCTATAAAGAAAGTGAAGAAAAAAATTAATTAAATATTCTCATATACACCACTTTATCATTTATTATTTTTTCCAAAGAACTAAAAAAAAAAAAAGTTAAATAACATAATATTTATATGTAATATAATTTCAAAATTTTATATTTAAAATTTTATTCTATTTAAAAATATATCCAATCAAATCATACAAAGATAAAAAAGAATATTAATAAATATATATTTTTTCTATTTTTATCTCTCTCTTAAATAAAATACTTTAAAATATAATCAAAATATAATGAAATAAATAATAAATTTTCAAAATAAAATAGAAAAATTTTCAAATGTCTCACTGTCATATATATTTGTTAAAAAATAAATTTTAAAAAGATAAAACTAAAAGATGAAGAACTTAAAATTTAAATACTTAATTATTTAATATTTATTTATTTTAAATAATTTTTATACAATTATATCGCAAATCAACGTAATAGAATATATATATAAATTCTCAATAGATGATATTCAAGGAGGAATATTAGAAAGAAATATCAAATTTCACATAAACTGTTGAATCAATTAAATATTTATTAATCTTATTATGTATAAATTTTTTTTACCTTTATTGCCATAATCCAATTATTTCTAAGAGTATTATAAAAGAAAAATATCACATATTATGTTGACAATAATCATTATATGTTCATTCTTTATACTCATTATATGTTCATTCTTTAACTTATCTAATTTTTTATTCATATAATATTAAATTATAAATTTTTATTTAGATTGAGTTGTTAAAATACATTATACTTTATAGACAATAATTTTTTTTTTTGTGTTATATGTCAACGTACTGATTCATACAGTTTTTATTATACGTTAGTTGCTTTCATTTTTTTTTAAAGAAAAACTAAATTAATTTATAAAAATCATCATATAGCTTTTAAAATGCATCATATAGCTTTATTATAATTTTAATAATTAAATTTACATCCTTGTTGTTAATAATTTCACTATAGATGCTTTTATAAGTAATATATACTTTAACAATAGAATAAAAAACCAATCTAAATAAAGTTAAATTGTAAATATTTATGAAATAGATAACAAAATTTTATTTTTTTAAGTCAATTAAAAAAACGTGAAAGCATTTAAAAATTATTAATAATTATATATTAATAAAATTATATTCTTTAATAGAAGTAGGATTTGAATTATATAAGATATCAATATAACTAATAAAATTTGAGATTTTAAAAATAATAATTTTTATCTTAATTTTTAACCAATCAAATTTTAGTGTAATTTGTAATTAAAAAAAATTAATCATACTCTTTTTCAATCAAAAATTGAATCATTTAGATATATTTATTTAAAATAAGTTCAAAAAATATAAAAATTTTCAAATGCATCACATTTACATATATTATTTAAAAAAGTAATGTTGAAGCTAAATGATAAATTATAATAATAGTAAATTACTAAATTATAATTAATAATTTACATAATAATATAATGAAATAAAATATACTTAGACATAATAAGATAATAATAGTAATAATAAGATAAATAATAGTGAAAATTTAAATAATAATAGTAAAAATTTAAAAATTTAAAAAACTTAATTTTATATATATATATCTATTAATAAAATTTAAAAAACATCCAATTAAATTGTAGAAATATTATATATATTTTTATGTTAAAAATTGTAATTAATTAAGAATAAGGTTATTTTATGATATCTTAAATTTTATAAGGAAAATATCAGCAATCTCATTATTTCCCCCTCATTCCCACTTTTATATATAGTATAAATTATAAATTTATTTTATTATCTATTAAGTTAAAGGGAGAAAAATAATTATAATAAATACATAAAATATGTAATATGTATTTAGCTCTAACATTTAATTTAAAACTAAATCGAATAAAATTAAAAATATATATGGTAAATAAATAAATTTTAAATTTTCATGTATAGCGTTATTATATAATATTAAAATAATTAAAATAAAATATATTTATTAATATATAATTAACGTTATAAAATATATTTATTAATATATAATTAACGTTAATTATCTATTAAGCATAATATTTACAATAAAATTTAATTGGTATATACTTAACATTAATTATCTATTCAGTATAATATTTAAAATAAAATTTAATTGGTCATTAATTATATTATTTTGAAATATTTTAAATTTCATTAAGAGTATTATCGTATCGTTAATTATATATTAAGCATAATATTCAAAATAAAATTTAATTAATCATTGATAAGATTATTTTAGAACATTTAAAATTTCATTAAGGGCATTATATGTAATCCTATTATTCCCTTCTCATTTCCACTTTTATATATAGTATAGATAGATAGATTATGAGATCAAAATTTTAATATTTTTAACTAATTTTTAATATTACAACCAAATAACGGAAAATAAGTCATTTGAAAAATATTTTTTAATAAGTTATTTTTAATAAGTTATTTTCTTGTAAATTTTTTTATGGAAACAAACAGAGCATCGATTGAAAAAAAAAAACATTAATATATGAAGTTATTTTTAAAATAAAATAAGTGTTTTAAATTTTCTTATTAATGAAAATTATGGAATTTAAAAAAATTCCACTAATGAAAAAAAAAATCATCATTGCCTCAATTCCATCATTTGCAAAGAGACCTCAATTTTAATATTTTATATTAATGATTAAATTAAACTACTTAACTTTATTTCAAAGTACCTTTCAAGAACCTATTGATTTTGTTTTCTAACCATTTGAATAATCCATTGGTGTCATGTGTCTTAGGTGTTAGGTGCAATGGCAAATGGTAATTTGAGGATTCAATCATCATAAAAGCATATATATTATATATTATATTATATATATATATATATATATATATATATATATATTATATATAAAGCGTTGAGTTAGACGTTATTAGTAAACAATTAATAAAAAAAAAAGGATTTAATCACTATCAATTAATTAAGAAAAAAAATCAAATAACATTGAGGTGTAAGTCTAGAGTATTAGTGCCAGTGAGTTGGAATTGGATTTATTAATTTAAATATATATAAAAGCGTTGAGTTAGAGTTATTAGTAACAATAATAAAAAAAAAAGGATTATAATCACTATCAATAATTAGAAAAAAAAATCAATAACATTTGAGTGTAAGTCTAGGTATCTAGTGCCGTGAGTTGGATTGGATTTATTAATTAAAGTTTTTGATCCGCATATGCAAATTGATTTTTTTTTTTTTATATCCAATCTGACTCGTTGAATGTGTAAATCTCTGTAGATTTTAAACAGATTGGATTAGGTATGATTTCCACGTAAACTCGCGGGTCAAATAAATAATAAATAATAAAAATATTTTTAAATAAAATACAACTATTTAAGAGAAATTATCAAAACATTAAATATATTTTAAAATACAATTATACAATAATCTTCACAAACTATAAATATATTTTAATAACAATATTAAAATTAAATTTTTTAATAATAATTGATGATGACGATGATCATATCATAAGTAACAACAATGAAAAATTAAATTTCCTAGTAAGAAAGACAACTTACAAAATAAAAAAAAAAATAGTAACATAATTATACAATATATTTTAAATTACAATATACTCCAATAACAAGAATTCAAAATAAATTTATGCTAAAGAAAAAAGCAATAATTTAGTTCTATTTATATTTAAAGTTGAAAATCAAATCAAATCAAATTAACTTAAATAATTCACATATATATATATATATATATGACATTATTTATAGGTTGAATCAAATTTGCGGGTTTATCTAGGTGAATCCGTGATTCATCACAACCCATGAATTATAAAGATGACTCGCACTGGTCGAATCGGTTTACAACAGTTTATATGCAACCTAATATTATCCAGATTTTCCAACCCTTCCTAAATAATTTTATAAGGATGAAAATGAAAATGAACAAGAAGTTTTATGGGCTCAAAGTATAAAACAAAAAATTAAGTAATAAATTCTCGTATATATATTTTCCACTATTATTCTTCCCTCCACATCTATCCCAAACTAAAAATTCCCTCCTTCCCTCGTTTTCTGCTCTCTTCTTCCCTTAACCCCCACTTTGCATCAAAAACCCTCCACTTTCTATCTTTCGCCCTCTAAACCCCCCTCTCCACCTTCTCTCCCTAACTTCTCAGATCTCCATTTACTTTATCCAATCGGATTCTCTGTTTCTCTCTCCCCGCTGATTATTTTTTCTCCATTGCCATGTCCGGCAGCGCTAGAGCATCCACCCGCCCGCCCGCCACGGCGGCCTCGTCTCCTCCACAGGGACCGATCCTGCCGCCTCTTAGACGGCATCTTGCTTTTGCCACAATGAAGCCGCCGTTTGTTCCTCCTGATGATTACCATCGGTTTAGTTCTCCAAGTAAAAATAAAGCCGCCGATCGGGAAGTTGAGGGTATTGTCGTGAGGTCTCCTGTAAGTTTCCTTTACTGTATGCATATGCATGTAATTGTAATTGTATATGTCGTTCTGGAGTGAACTTAATTTTTATCCCATTTGAAGTAATGTGTTTTTGGGGGGAATTTTATATTTCGCGTACATGACGTTGTTTGAGTAATTTGGTTTGAAATGAAAGTAAAATCTCTTTTAATGCTGTTTGATTCTGGGCTTATTGTCTGTTTGGTTAATGAGAAATCATCGGGAAGGGGGATTTGGTTATTTCGGCAATTGTGTGAGATTCCAAATTGTAGTTTGCAGAACTCAAATGGTGTTTGATAATATTGCACTCTCTCATTACTTTTATTTAACTAATGATAAGTTGCTATGTTTTTCACTTAGTTGATTCTTGGGCAATGTAGATGCAATTCAAGTGAACTTTGGGTGGGTTTGGAAGTAAGGATTGTGTCTCAATACCATTTGTTTCTTAGGAGACATCAATTAGCACAATAGTCGTGTTCTTCTTTTTAATTGTTCTCCCCCATTTGATCTGGCTGTAGATTTTTATAGTACTTCATGTACAGATTTCTTTCCAGCTCAAACTGTTTTCTACATTCCTTTTTATTGAAATGTAATGGAGTCTTTGTGTCTTCTATTAGGGAGGGCTTGTATGACCAAGATGCTATCATTTCCACTTGCTGAATTAGTTGCTATGCATTCCAAATATTTTTGAACTGCTAATGCTTAGCCTATGAGTGAAGCCTTCTATTATGTATGAGGAAGTCTTAACCATCACAGTTCTGCATGCCTGGTTTCCTACATTATTTAGGGGCTATTATTGAATTCTCATTGTCATCCACCATATCTTCTGTTTATAATTGCATTTTCTTAGAAAACAGTTATAATGGGGCTCACAGTTGTTTCATAGTCTGAATTTATGTTACTTAAAAATGGACATGTGCTTTATTATCATAATTGCATACTTGAACATGCCTTCTCAAGGTTTTGCTAATGTATTTAAAGTGATATCATGGATAATCTGGCTTTTGCCTGTCATTTAATATGATTATGCATTTCATTTGGTGCGTTGCAGCCTTTAAAACGAAAGGGCAGCTCGGGTGAAAACCGTGGCGATTCTAGTGAATGGGCAAGTAGTGATGTATCTAATAGTCCTTTCCAAACACCAGTGTCTGCAAAAGGGGGAAGGATATACAACAGATCAAAGGCCTCAAAGGGCAATAGATCAGGGCCTCAGACCCCAGTGTCAAAAATTGGTATAAGTTTGAATTGCCTTTAGTGTGCTCTCATTTTCTGCTTAAGATAGTTTGCATGAGCTTCAGGAGATCTTAGTCTTTGGAGATAAGGTGTTAGGCATTATAAATCTAGTTTCTTCAAGCAATTTATAATGTATTCACATGCTGAAAGGGTCTTTACTTTTTCGAGCATCCCCAGAAAAGAGAAACCTGATGATTTAAATTTGTGTGATCTTGCAGATTCTCCCTCTCCTCTTACACCAGCTGGAAGCTGCCGTTATGACAGTTCCCTAGGTAATCTTGAAAACGTTTAATCTCAGGTTGGATTAAATTTATTCTGATGATGCCTATATGGCTGTTTTATCTATAAGCTGTGGTATTATTTAGCGGTTAAAAGCTTTCATCTATGTTTATGGAGAAAAATGTGCCAACATTTTTCAGGTCTTTTGACAAAGAAATTTGTCAATCTAATTAAGCATGCTGAAGATGGTATGCTTGACCTAAACAAGGCTGCAGAAACTTTGGAGGTGATCATATTGCTGATTGAATGGTTGCATTATTGAAAACCATTTTATACTTACCAAGGGCTTTTCATTGAAACAGGTGCAGAAGAGGCGGATATATGACATTACAAATGTCTTGGAAGGAATTGGTCTCATTGAAAAGAAGCTCAAAAATAGGATACGTTGGAAGTAATTTGACAGCAATAAATACTACGAATATTCAGAACAATTTTGTTTTTCTGCATTTGATTTTATTAAACATTGCATTACATAGGAATTTATGTGTAGATTTTGAATGGTTGATCAGGGGAGTTGATGCTTCAAGACCAGGAGAGCCAGATGGAGATGCCTCTTTATTGCAGGTACATGGAAGCAGATAATGCTTTATTGTTGTACCAACCGCAATGGGTGTTTTCCCTTCCCATTTGTTATCACAGGCTTCATTTTTCTGCATCTGTTTGTTTTAATATAGCTGTTCGCAGAATATTTGTTCAATTCTGGAATATCTTCTAATCTGTTTTACATGATGCCATTCATATGATGAAAAAGAAATGCATCCCTTCTGGAGAGACAGGATTTAACTTTTTTCTTTTTTCCTGCAGGCAGAGATTGAAAAGCTTTCGATGGAAGAGCGTGGACTAGATGACCAAATAAGGTTACACGATTGATTTCCTTATTAGAGTGGTTGATGTTGCACTCTTCGATCCATTGGATAGTGCTGATGCTCTTAAAATTTTGCAGAGAAATGCAAGAAAGACTCAAAGGCTTTAGTGAAGATGAAATCAGTCAAAAGTAATATATTCTGCCCTAGGCCCTCTATACCGTATATAAATCTGAAGTAGTGCTGCACCCTAGTTAATAATGCCATTATTCATTTTCCAACGATTTCAGGTGGCTTTTTGTGACTGAAGAAGACATTAAGAACATACCTTGTTTTCAGGTTGGTTTATATTCTGCTTGTTTTTCTTTTTTGATATGATCCTTCTGAATTTTGATTCTGATCTCAGTAATCTTTTTCTATGCTCAACTAGACTTCCTAATCTTTTTTTTTTTTTTTGGCCAGAATGAAACACTCATAGCAATTAAAGCTCCCCATGGAACTACCCTGGAAGTCCCTGATCCAGACGAGGTAATTCAAAAGAAAATCTCGTAAGGAGAAATTGACTAGTTGATGATCTATATCATATTCTTGATGTTTGAACTGACTTGCTTTATACACCAGGCTGTTGAATATCCACAGAGGAGATACAGGATAATTCTTAGAAGCACAATGGGTCCAATTGATGTTTACCTTGTAAGGTGTGACTGCCTTCTCTATGGCACAGAAGTATCCACTCAAGAAACATTTATGTCTATTACCCCTTAGCAAATCATTGTTTTGTGTGGATCATATGATTGAAAATGTTATCAGTGTAGTTTTTCATTTTTCTTTTCTATTTCCCATTTTAATACATTCTGTTCTTACAGTCAATTTGAGGAGAACTTTGAGGAGATGAACGGTGAGCCATCTACTAGTTTCCCACATGCTTCTAGTTCTGGATCTAATGAAATCCCAGCAAGAGAGATCATAAATGAGCAGAGAATGATGAAAAGGTTTGAGCCTCAGGTGCACCAACAAGTACACAGTTCATTTCTTGACCTTGATGCTTCACAAGATCTGGCTGGGGGAATGATGAAGATTGTTCCTTCCGATGTTAATGTAAGTGTTCTTTATGCCGAGTTTTTGTTCTTACTGATAAGTGTTATTGTCACAAATGAGATTGATATCATTGATTTATGAAGACATGCAAGTGCGTGTAAATGGCTTGCATGTGAACCTCTGGCTTCAAGCTTCAGTCATACATCCAATTTTATGACTGCAGTTGGTAGGATCTTAACAAGAGTATACTGCCTGGGTTCAAATTTTAAAACCTATCATATTACTTCTTTTACACTTAATGTTGTATTTTAATCCATTTATTCATTAGTCCCAATTCAAAATCGTCTTATATGGCTAGTGTGGATAGAAAAATGGAAGATGGCGTTCTGCATGTTGCATGAAGATTTTTCAGACCATGATATATCCCAATGGATTAAAATTGATAATTTCAGACTTCTCCTAGTAATTCTTACCAAATATTAATTTTGTTATCTTTTCAGAATGATGCAGATTACTGGCTTCTTTCAGATGCTGATGTTAGCATTACAGACATGTGGAGGACAGATAGTATCCTGCTTAAAATTTTTGCTCTTTTCTATCACAATTCGCCCAACCCTTTTCCTTTGGTATTCAAAATCTAAACGCTGAATCCTTGACTCATATTTAGCGAATGTTGAATGGAGTGAGGACATGCTTTCTGCTGACTTTGGAATCCCTGACGTCCATACTCCTAGGGCACAAACCCCACCATCGGGAATAGCTGAAGTGCCATCTGGTGGAAACTCTACTCAGAGGTAAATGCTAATTTTGCTCGCGAGCTAATTCTCGAAACTCGAACTCATTTCTCTATGAAGCAGAAATCTCCTATGCCAATTATTTTCTGCTTAAAACGCCAATGCGTTGCGTTGCCTGTGGAGTGGAAATTGGAGCAGCATATGGAAGAAGCTGACAGATGGTAAGCTGGGACTTAGTCCTATACATTTGACTAGAGTTGCATTTATTTGACCACAGTGGTCCATCTGCAAATAAAATAAAAGCCACCAAAACAAAAAAGAAAAAGGAAAAAGAAACAGGAATTCAATACCGAGTGGGATGGTGGAATGGGAATTTGATACTGAGGGGGATAGAATAGGCAGTCGAATTATTATAGGTTCAGAAACATGAAGTCCCTATTGTGTGCATTTGGTATTTGAATGCAACAAAGTCTAATCTGCTGTAAGAATGGTGCACAGTATAATTTCAAGGTAGAAATACCCGCCACCAGAATTGATTCAATTGTATCTTTTCATAAATCTTTTTTTTTTAGTTCTAATTTTTAATTTTAATGGGTTGAATCAACTGGTTTGGTTCATTTGGTTCAGTTTGGCTTTTGAAAACATAGTTATTCTTATTTGTCGAGATGTTAAAAGGGCTACAAGGAAATCACGAAATTGAGAAATCGAAAGCAGCCACACACAAGCTAGGAACATAAAAATGGCCACAAACTGAAAGCAGCCACTAGGAGTTTCTCCTTTTTATTCTCCTTTTTGTTATATCTTTGGACACTAAAATGTGATTATAATTTTTGTCCCCATTGGTGTTGACACGTCATTTTCATTATATGGACCCTTTTTGACACATTACAAACTTATCTACTCACGGTTTGACATCGTCGAAACTCTGTATTTTATCAAAAAAAATCCTTGACCAACTCAAACTTTATAAGAGGCCTGAATTTACAAATTTTGGTAATATTGTTTACTCTTTATCATATTAATAATAACAGTTTTTTGGTATTTTTAACATTTATATGAAAAATATTCTCTTGATATATGATTAGTATAATCTTTAAAATAATACATTTGGCATTTTTCAATTATTGAATAAGTATTTAATCGATCTAGTTGAAGCTATCACAAAATTTATTACGTAAATAAATTTTTAAAAGAATTCCTCTTCATTAATAAAATTTATGATTAACTTTCATTTTTTAATTATAGTTTAACAAAGAGGAAGTCATAAGTAATAGGTTTCAGCTTGAACTTTTATATCAGGACATCTCATATGGTTGTAAATATTAACATTTTGTATTTTTTCGTTAATATGTGCTCCTTAAAAGGGTCATATTCCTGATTTTATGTCCATCAATGTGCAATAGTTTATGTATGGTGACCCTTATCTTTATTTGGCCCTCATGTTTTGTTAGGGCCCAAAAAAAAAAAAAAAAAAAAAAAAAAAAAAACAATGTGCAATAGTTTATGTATTGGTGACCCTTATTCTTTTTGGCCTAATGTTTTGTTAGGGCCCAAAAAAAAAAAAAAAAAAAAAAAAAAAAAAAAAAAAAAAAAAAAAAAAAAAAGCCAACACTAGAAAAAGAAAGCTAAAGACAAGAATGATATGACAGAAAAATAGAAAGACAAGTTTCGAGAACTTTACGATATACGGTTTTTCTAGTCAAGCCGCTCAACATGACCATTCTTTATCCTACTTAAAGTGAGAATTCGAAGTTGAGGCCTTCTTGGAAGCCACCGTTCAATTAAAAAGACTGCCACCGTCTGCTTCCCTCATTCACTTGCTTAATGGATGAATGCGATTCTTTAACATAATTAATATAACGGAGCTTTTCACAAAAAGAAATCTTGATGAGAGATGCATCATATCTAAAAAGTTTAAGGTTTTGGCAATATGTACACTTTTTTTTTTTTTTTTTTTTTTTTTTTTTTTTTTTTTTTTTTTTTTTTACTAATAACAATATTTTTTTTAAGATTTTGACTTTTATAATTGATTTTTATGTGATTAATATTAATTTTTCAATAAATAATTCACTTTTTTTAGCTACTTAAATTGATTTAATTTCACATTTAACAAGTGCAATTTTATGCATTATTGTGTTTAATTGATTAAAATAAAAATTAAGTACACCACAAAATTTTTGGTTAAAAGTATATGAATAAGTCATGTATTTTGCAAACATTTATTAATAAATGTATAAGAATTTATCGATGTTTGATTTCATATACTTTCAGCTCTGCTACTGAAATTATATGAAAAATTAGCTATTTCAAACCAATGACAATCCTATTCAGCAACAATAAGGATAAAATTTCAAAATTTAGAGGTAAATTTATGCATTAATCACATATATATATATATATAATAACATAATGTAATCAAATATACTATATTAGAAATGTTTACATTAAAAATACATTTAATAACATCTCATAGCATTTCAGCAAAGTTAAACGAATTTTATTTTTTTCTTGATTATGTTTTATTCAGTTGAATGATCCAAGTTACTTAGTATAAAATAGATTTAAATTTAGGATTATTAAAGAAAATAGTTAATGACTATGAATGAGATCTAGAGAAAAGAAAATGGCAAAAAAAAAAAAAATGTTAGAATAATCATCTTCTAAATACTAGAATTGATTTTTCTTTTTTTTACTTCAAAAAAAGATTATAGTCTTTTGGTTAGATTATTACTATTGGTCGGTAGAAAATGGCGATTGGTAATTACAATCATAATAAAATAAGATAATTATATCAATAATTGTGATATATAAGAATATTGTGTCTCTCAAACACGACCATCTGTCCAGATATCGATGCATTAAAACCATTGAAAAATTTTTTTATATTCAATAATAATCCGATTTGGATTTAAATAGATCTGAATCTAATCAACATGTTGATTATTATTCTTCTTTGTGTATAAAAAACAATTTGTTTTCGTAAAATAACTTGTACGAAAATAATTTTTTGAAAAATATTTTCAGGGAAAATATTTTCCAAATGATTTATTTTTCGTTATTTGGTTGCAATATTGAAACTTAGTTAAGAAGATTAAAGTCTTTATCTCATGAGATCATAAAAAATATTAATAATGATAGAAATTTTATAATTTTAAAATTTTATTGTTAAATATAAAAGAAAATATGTTATGAGTATAATTGGATAATTTTATTGTTAAATATTAAAAAGAATTTGTTAATTAATATCAGTTTATATTGTAACGGTATAGTTGGATAATGTTTTATAATTTATTTATATTTGCCGGCGGTTGGTGGTGGTGGCTTGTGGTGCCGCCAGTGGTGGTAGTCAGGTGTGTGTGGTTGTGTAAGATGGTGATTGAGTGATATATATATATATATATTATAAAAGTTGCCGGCGGTTGGTGGTGGTGGCCGCCAGTGGTGGTAGTCAGTGGTGGTGGTTGGTGGTAAATGGTGATTAGTGGTGGTAACAATGATGATTAATAAATTAAAATATATGGATTTATAAGGTTTGCCAATGTCCGGAAAATATTTTACTTTCTCGAAAATAGAAAGTTGTTTTCCTTAAAAAATGACTTAATTTTTCTTTGACAGGAAAAAATTTTCTATTGACTTATTTTTCTGAACACTCCAAACCAACGAAAAATTGTGGAAAATATTTTCTTGCAAGTTATTTACAGAAACAAACGGAGCCTATGAGACAATTGATTTTCATTTATCTAAGGGTCTCAATACCAGAATCAGAATACGCTCTCACATGATTGTGCTAATATATATAATTTTGAGGGTTTTATTACTATGCAAAGTCAAAATTTTGTAGTAAAATTGATGGAAAAAAATAGTGATATTATAAAAATATATAAAGTTCAGAGTATTTTAATGTAGGCATTGTAGCTATTGGACGTACTCATTAAAATTGAGCGTGCGCAAAACCGCCGATCAAATTGAACCCATCCATTTTGGTTTGGTAAACATATTCAAAGAAAGTTTGGTTTGTTGGATTAATCAGATTTGAATCAAAATTAATGTTGATTTGGCTTGATTTTATGGGATCTAATCGATTACACTTACAATCGAATTGATATGGTAAAAATTGATCAAAACCGACCAAACTGATTAGTTGATTCGAATTGATTCAATTCAAGTACCAGCTTCAGTTTTGATAATATACAATAATAAAATACATAAAATAATAGTATATAAATATATTAAAGGATATTAGTCTTCCAAATAAACTCTAACTAACAGGTCATATAGGAATCCTATAATCCTTATCCTAATATAATTTATCTTGACTCCAATACATATACCCCAAATTGACTCTGAGCGAGGATCAATTCTCAATTCTGATAATTAGTTAAAAAATAGTGCGATGAGCGTGGAACATACCTTCTCCGACACAAATTTCGATACTTATCCATCTTCACAGAGCGAATAATCAAAATCTATATTCTGTACGATAAACTACAAGCGTTTTTTGTACCAATTTTTTCCATGTTCAATTTCAGCGCAGGTAGCACAACCAAATGGAAATAAATAAATTCAGATTTAAGTAGTCCTCAATAAATTCGGACTTAAGTAGTCTTCTAGTTCAAATATAAGCGGTCCTCAACAAATTCAGGTTTAAGCAGTCTTCAATAAATTCGGACTTAAGCAGTCCTCAACAAATTCAGACTTCAACAATCCACCTAAAATGAACTCAGTCCACCTATTCGGAATTAAGTGGTCCACCCATTCAAGCTTAAACAATTTATATTTAAGCAATCATTCATTCGAGCTTAAACAACTCATATTTAAGTAGTCCATCCGTTCAAATATAAATGTTATGCCCGACTCTAATCACCAGAGGAATTGTCCGCTTTGGCCACGGGGTTGTGCCCCGACCTAATCCGGCCAACACATACACCCGCCCTCACGGTTTTGTTCCGCAGGTGAAATGGAAAACTTCCCAGAAGGTCACCCATCTTAGGATTTCCGTTAAGCAAGCACGCTTAACTCTGGAGTTCTTCCAACTCTCAAGCCATTTCACCAAAAGGCGCCTCTAATGATTAGTTTCCCCATTTTCGATATATGATTCGATTCATTCCTGTGTCCCGCATTCCACTACCCTATTTTCGATATATGATTCGATTCATTCCTGTGTCCCGCATTCCACTACCCTAACTAGCCTGCCATCCTAAAATCGCTTTGCCGGGTCGGGATGTCACAATAAACATTTGTTCGACATAAATGACTAACATTTTCTGGGGACTACTAATAATATACAATAATAAAATACATAAAAGAACAATATAATTATATTAAAGGATATTAGACTCTCGAATAAATTATAACTAACAAGTCATATAGAATTCCTATAATTTTTATTCTAATATAATTTTTCTTAACTCCAATATATATACCCTAATTTACTCCAAGCAATCACCAATTCTCAAATACTCTCAATTTTGATAGTATATACCGGATAGCAAATAAAATTCAATTTCGCATTAGTTAAATTATATATAGTTTTATGGAAGTCTAAATTTTATGAATGTGTCATGTGACTAAGGCTTTGTATTATCTATGAATACCATACAAATCAATTAATCACGTGGATTCCAAATACCAAACATCACATGAAGGAGGAAGCAAAATAATTAGGGGAAAGAAATGAGCATGTGTCTATTTTTATATAAGAGTTTATATTTTAGCAAAGTGAAAACAAAATATGTATTCGAAATAAAATTAATGAACAAGATTAATAAGAGAACAAAATAATTTAATAATTTTGCATTTCTAATTAAAGGAAAGGCAATTGAATTAAATTCAAATAAATAATTTTAAAATCTAAAAAATTGAGAAATAAGCTCACAGCATCAATTGTTAAAATTAAAAGAATTAGCTAAAACTGCAAAATGGTTAAAGTTTAGGGAAGCTTTTTTAGTTATTTAATCTTTTTAGCTGATATGCGTGGTGATGTGATATTATAGTGTCAAAATTTTTAAAAAATGACTAAAATTATAAAAACAATCAAAAATTCAGGATTTTTTTTGGTTGTTATATACTCATTCCATTTTCAACTACTCGTTACATTTCAATATTTAACGTCCTTTAAGAAAATTATATATTTAATTTGTCTAAATTAAAATAAACTATTGAGTGAATTGACTATATTATCCTTAATTTATTATTTAAGTAAAAAATCATTCAATAAAGATCAAGAAAATAGTTTATTATTTGGTAGATTCACAAATGTAACAAATATTTAGGAATATAATACTTTATCAAATATGATAAGTATTTGGAAACTGAGTGAGTAATATAAGTGGGGACGAGTGAGCGAACATTGAGATTGCCAAAAACACTCATGATAAGTTTATGAATTGACAAAAATACCATTACGGATTTTAATTTGATTGATTGAAAAAATAAAGATAATTTAATTTTAATTATATTGAATAAATTTAATTTTCTATTTCAATCTAAATTATATTGAATAAATTAAGAAATTATATTATATATAATAATATAATATAGTTAATAATTTTAATTTTATTATAATATATAATATAGTTAATTTAATTTTTATTTTATTATTTTGAGAATTAGATAATTTAATTTGATTTTCATATAGTAATTTTCTATTTAAATCTAAATTTTATTAGATAAATTAACAAATTATATTGTTATTACTAAAATAAGATATATATTAAAAAATGAAAGAAGCATTAAAAAATTTTTTAAAGATTTTAATTGTATTGATGATGAAAAGAATAAAATAATTTAATCTTAAAGTAGTCATATTTAAATTATTATAAGATATGTAATAAATATTGCGTAAAAAAAAAATATTTAATATATTTAGTTATTATTTTAATTAAATTTTTAATTTTGATTTATTATTAATTTATTTCTCTGCAAGGTAACTCATTGCATAAAAAAATTTAAATTATTAATTTATTATTATCTATTAAAAAAAATATATTTAAGATTTATAATTTAAATATATTAAAAAACTAAAAAATAAAAAACTCACAAAAAAGTATATTATAAAATAAATATAATATAGACATTTATTAGCAAAACAATATAATACATTTAAAATATTTGTTTTTATTAAAAAAGCAAAATATAAAAATTTAAATATTTATTTTTATAAAAAAGCAACTATAAAAATAAAAAGTACAAAATATATATCAAAATTACAAATATATATATATAATACTAGAGTTTCTTACAATTAATTTTTAAAATTAAAATTTAGCTTTTCTAAAAGAAAATAAGTGAAGCATTTGTTTGTTAGAAGTCAATATTCTTATGTTTATTATATTTAGTTAAATATTTTTTAAAAAAAATTATAATTGGTCAAGACTCTTTAGTTTATGGCCACTATCATGAAAAACTAATGATTTTGGCTCACTTGAATATTTGAAATCAAAATAAGGTCTGTATTTTATTATTTTAAGCGTTAAATATTTTCGAATTCCTAAATTATAACCAAATTAACACTTAAATCTCTCGATGTTTGACTAATTATTTTGAAAGACTTAAATTATATTTCTGTTACACTGTAAGGCCCTTCCATCCAAATCGCCGTCTCTTTTCCGATTACATGGGTTGAAACTTCGATTTTAACCTTAATTAAAAGTTAGGGGTTTAGGAATTCAAAGGAGAGAAAATGAAAGGTTGTTTCGGTTGGGATGCAACGCTTTTCCGTTGAAAGCCTTCCTTTTGAATGTTGACTTCTTCTCTTCAGACGCATCTTTGATCCTTCTTCTATTTGATTATCAATCGCAAAATTTAGAGAAAGAAGGTGCCCTACTATTTATACTGCTGCAGTGCTCTCACTCACAAGAAGAAGAAGGTAAGTTTTTCCTTCTATGAAGCAAGCATGAAATATATTACCTTTGACGTTTGATACAATGTTAATGGCATGAACCAGTTAGAAATAGACTTCGTTTCGGTTTTTTTCAGTTTTAAATTGCTTAAAGTTACAAAATTTAGGGTTTTTCTCATAGAATCGGGTTCTAAAACGGCTTTCATTAAAAATTTTCTACAACAACATATCAAAACCCTTGCATTTACTAAATCCTCAACTCATCTTTCCCAAGACATGACGATTACACTAAAATCCACAGCAACAATCAACACAACAACAACGACAAAAATCTTCAAATACCCAACATAACTTTTTAATCCCTCAACCTTCACCAAATCTGCCCAATTGAAGTTGCAAATATCTGAGTTCAACATGCAATCTTGACACTTCATTCTTCAAATATTCTACATCACATAAGTTGCTTCTTTGCCTTGATTCAAAGTCAAATGACTGAACTATTGTTGTTGGATGGATTGAATTCGCTGGCTTAGACCACCCTAAAAATGAGCCTCACTTTTTGCTCAAACAGTAATAGTAAAGCCTATTTCTATTCTTTGTCGTTTCTGAGATTCGAATATCTGTCTTCTTCCCACATTTGCAATAATAATTAACGTACCTTCCCTCTCATGAACTCCCAGCTACACTAGATGAAGAGAATGAGCGGCTCATTTGTGAAAAACGTAAATTTTCTAATTTGAAAATTTAGTAAATACAATGGACTCAATTAAGGAAGAAGCCACGTTTATATAGCTTTCACTAAGGGTAGGCTTCTTCATTTTTAAAGTTTTCTTGTTAAAATCGGCTTTTCAGCCCATATAAATAGAAAAGAGGTAGCGCTTGGATATAAGGGCCTCGGAGTATAATGGAAGCATAATTTAGATCTTTCAAAATAATTATTCAAATATTGAGAGATATAAATATTAATTTGGTTATAATTTAGGGACCGAAAATATTTAATTCTTATTTTAAATCTAATTTTTATTTTAGATATTTTCGAACTTAAATTTCAACCTAATATAAGTTTAAAAAATTTAAACTCACAAAAAGATAAAAAAAAAAAAAACAACGGCAACAAAAGCCAATAATTGTGACAAAAAGAGAGAGCGTCTAAGTATATAAATTCTTCAACCTTCGTTCCAAACGCCCCTTTCATTCCCTCTCTCTCTCTCCATGGCTGAAGCAGAGCCTCTACCACCCCTAGCGCCTCCACCAACTCTTCGCCGTAGAAACTCAATTGCAACTTCCGTTGTAATCCCTACTCAACTCACTCTCCCTTCCAAACCTCTCTACACTCTCAGCCTCCCCACCGGAAACGGCTCCGACTTCGAGCTAGGCCAGCTGGCCTCTTTCAAATCCTCCTTGTCATACACTTCTTTAAAGGACATCCTTCCTTCCACTGCTGTCAACTCGCCAACGGCCGCTCCCTCTGCCGCTGGTTCCGCCTGTGAAATTTCCATTCGTAATCGCCTCGTTAAGCAGGCGGCGTGGGCTTACCTGCAACCGATGTCTTCTTCGCCGGATTCTTCAAGCCAACACTTCCTCCGCCGTCTCTGGCTCCAACTCTCTACTCGCAATCCTATCACTGCTTGTATTCGGTTCATTAGTATTCATATTATTCCTAGTATTACCGGAGCCTTTGATTGGATCATCCAAGCGATTCGGATCCAAATCCATAGGTAGCACTGGCTAACCATTTTTAGTAAAAATTCTAAATATTGTATCTAATCGAGTTGTTGTGCTGTTTAATTTTTTGTAGTAGACTCGTAAAGATTACAAACAAAAACAAAGAAAAGAATGAATCGAATTGAACTCGAAATGGAAAAGAAATACAGAGTTTTTTTTTTTTTTTTTTTCAATTTTCTCATTTAGTTTTAGAGGAATTTGCCTATTTTTTTACAATCACAGATTACAAATTATCTTTCATCTTCAGTTTTGAATTGGTTTCATACGGCGGAGCCTCAGCCGAGCTTGGTGGAGATTAGCATTGGCGTCGGTTTCAGAGCCGCCGGTGCTTGTGCTTGGGTCCACCGTCTGTAAATATTCTGTTTCTTCATTGAGTTTGACTTGGACGCTATTAGCTTTTGGTGAATCTGTAACTGAGCGGTTGATTCTGCCGCTTGGCGGCGGCGGAGCCCTTGGTGGCCACTTGCTGGTCCTGTGTTTGCTCATTGATGGCGATTCATTTAAACCTGTAGGTGCAGGTGGTGCGCTTGGTTCATAGTCGTCCCTCTTCTGCAAGTTAAAGATCAAATTTATTATTAATTGTGATTAATTACATGGAAGAAATCCAATTTCTGTTGTCTTAGCTTTTGCTATATAAGTATTATTTTTGTAATTAGAATAATTGGGTTGTTGTTTACACTTCATTAACAAAATAAGAATAGTCTCATACCCATCAATCAGATGGAAAAAAAAAATTACACCTTAGTCTTAGTGGTTGTGTTTGTGATAGAAACTTTTCCAGATTGAGCAGCTAAGTATTCAAGAACTTGAAAGAAAGTGGATTGGCCCAGTTTTGTGCAGTTTTGCCAATAGTAAATGGCAAAATCCCAAGCTCTTGCTTTCAACTCCAGTAGCTTCCTATCAATTTCAGTTTCATGCTTTGCTACAAAAGGCCTCAACAGACTTTCATATATGTAGCCAGTTCCCTGCATTAACAAAATTTTACCAATTTACTTCAAATGAAATAAAAATTTCGTCTATTACAGTTATCTGATTTTACCTACTTTTGTTTTTGGATACCATAAGTAGATAAAAAATGCAAGCTTCACTTCTCCGTACATTGGCAGCCTTCATAAAAAAAACAATCATAATTAGGGTTGCAACCTGTGACTTATAAATAGGAATTTCCAAACAATTAATGAAGTTTTGCTCACCATGAAATGAATATGTCACCTATCCTCTCACAAAAAGTAAGGATAGCAATTATAATCCTGCAAAATCAATATCAATTACACTTTTAATTGAAGGCAATTTGATTTAAAGAAAACTAATGGAATTGAAACCTAATCACCTAATTAAGGGTTTGTTCGGTAAAATTAACTGTTTTGACACCCATTAGCTATTTTAATAGTATTTAGCTGTCAGCTACATTCCTTTAAATAACATATTACTGAATATTATAAAAAAAGTTATCTAAAAAAATCCGCTGCTGAACAAATCCTAAATATACTATAGTAGTTGATGAATAAATGGGTCTAACAGTAGATGAGGCAAATTTGACAATTTCTTTTTCGGATATGACTGATGGATCAATTTTCATAACTATATCAAGTTGAAATTTGGAACCGATCACATGATTGCAATTACCAATTTAATTTTTAATCCATACTTCTCTTTAGCTTCTTCTGGCATGAACTACATTACCTTTTTTTTCCTATTCTCGGCTACATTTTCCTTTTTCCATTTTTTTTTATTCTGTAGATATAGAAAGTAAATAGGTTCAAGCATCATATACTATAATTAATAAAAAATTTTGAAAATTTTCACCTTAATAATGGATAAAGACCCATTCTTTTTGTTTTTTAAAGAAAACACTTTAACACACTAACACATACAAATGTCAGGGACAAAGGACCCATTTAAAATTTTTTTTTTTATAAATTAAAAATATATATACAGATACATATCAAACTATATAAATGGATAATTCAATTTAATATTTATTGAAGAATTTATAATGATTTTTTTTTCACTTCAAACAGAAATTTAAATATGCACCCATATCTGATAGACCTATTATAAACAACTCACTTTACTTGACAATTCTATTGCAATTCTAATTCCTTGGCATATTGTAGGCAACTTGGACAAAGTAATTATTGGCAAACATAGAATTGTATCCCTATTATTGGCAAATTAGAGAAAGTTATTTCATGCAAGTATTGAATTATACCTTTTTAAGAAAAACTTATACCAAAACTAATTTCAATCTCAGATGAAAACAAAAGATAAGGTGGTTTACCAATATTGACACCAAAATCTAAGTTCTTCAATTTCAACTTTGTTCTTCTCTACTGATTTGAAACATTCAAAAGCTGGGTATGCATACCCAAAAAGCAACCTGCCGAAGATAATAACAATAACAATTAATTAATTAATTAAAAGAACATTCAAATCTCACACCAGAAACAAACATCCATTCAAAAAAGAGAAAAACTAAAGTAGAAAAAGATCAAAAACAAAACAAAGAATCAAAAACCAAAAGGAAATGAATTAACTAGTAATAATCATTGATTAATTAATCAAAATTACATACACAAGACATCTGTTGATGAAATCTCCTAACATTCTTGATCTCTACAACAATCGCCCGCCAAAAATTCCTCTGCAAATTAAAACCATTGAAATCAGAAACTCCTCTCATTGAATCGAATCAATGAAGGAAAATAGGTATTCCATTTCAAGTTTTCCATATCCATACCTGATATATACTGTAAGGCAAAACTTTCGTTTGAAGGAATCGAAGTACTGCAATCAAATTTTAAAAAGAGAAAAACAAAAAAAATTTCCTTTTTAAAGAGAGGGATCTCTGATTCTGCGAATGAAGAGAGAAATGACGAGAATAAAAAAAAAAAAGAAATCCGCAGAAACGTGAGACCAGAGAGGATAGAGAAGAGAAGTCGTCGAATAAGGAATGCGTATATGATTAACTAACTCTGTCTCTCTCTTTCTTTATATATATATATACATATAGAGTAATTAGATAGTTAATTGTATATAATTAAGGAAGAGAAAGAGAAGAGAAGAGTGGATAATAATAATAAAAATAAAAGAAAAATGGAGGAGGGAGAGATTTCTTGGCAGGAACGCTTCTATTAATAAAATACACGCAAGAGAAGGGAGGGAAGGAAGGAGAAGGGATTTCTTGAGATTCTTCTTCTGACGGGTTAAACGGGCTTTGGTGGCAGTTTATGTTTAGTGCTATTGTTGGGGTAGTTTTGTCATTTTATGCCACTCAAATATTGGAGGCAGTTATGTTCTGTTTTGTTCTTTTGGGTAATTTCGTTGTTTTTTTTTTTTTTTGGAAAATAAAAACGGAAAATATGAAAAATTTCTTTTCTTTCTCTTTCTTCTTTAAAAAAAAATATGTTAGATATTTTACTTTAAAAAAATTCAGGTTAAATATTTTTAATGAATATAGTTAAATTTTTTTAATGGAAATTTATTTAATTTTTCTAGACGTATTTTATTAAAAATTATATAATTATTTATATATATTTTTTGACAATCATTAATTTATAGTATTAATTACTCAACTATAAAGGAAATATTACGACAAAGTATTCATGTCCCTCATCCTAATTAGTTTAAAATTAAAATTTAATAATTGGTGTTGTGTTGTTGGAGGAAATACTACACTACTGAAATTGTTAAAATTTTATATTTGACCATAATATAAATACATTTATTTAGTTTTTGCTAATTTATGAAACTATAAAATCATATAAAATAATGTATTTCGTGCACCGTTGTAATCTATACTCTTTTTTTTTTTTTTAATCTAACTTCTCCAATTAATTAGAGATGATAAACAAGGCTTGAAATTGAAAATTGAAATTAGTCATTTCAATTAAAGTTTCAATTAATTATATTTTTATTTTTAATATTATTATTAAAATCAAACTCGTAAACTAAGATCTCAATCCAATTCAAAATAAAAATTATGAAACTAATTTCAATTTAATTTTTTTATTGGTCTAATTCCAATATGAACTGAATCATGACTAACTCTACTATTCAGAAAAGAGATTATTATAAACTTAAATAAGTTTTTCCCTTGAATAAAAAAAAATCAAATAAGTTGAATCTACAAATGTACACCGTGAGTAAAATGAATACAATATTCTCAAGTAAGACTTGAAATAATTTGCTTAATTTTCATTTTCCAATTGCCCAATTTTCAAATAAGCAATTAGGTTTCTAGATCGTTTAAACCATGTCCTCAATTTCTCAACAATGTGCATAACAATCCAGAAACTTCCATTGGCAAATTTGAAACTTCAACTTCCTAATAGAAATTTCTAATGATTTTATTGATATTATATTCTTGTTATAATGACAATTATAACCCATGATTTGTGTTAATGCCTTAATTAGCATTTGGCAATGACCGTTGGATATTGGACTTTGTCAAGAGACCAAAAGTGTGAAATCTGAATTGAAGGGTCAAAGTCAACTAATTAAAAAATTGCTGGTATTTATTTTCGCGGGTAATTTACATTGGAATCTTCGAACGGGGAAAAGGGTGATTTCGACATTTTGTAAATCGTTAGAGCCATCTTTTTTGATACGATAGCGAGGACTTGCTTCGAAATAAAAAGCTCATGCGTGTCACTAAACTCGTCTGTTAAAGACCAATCATAGAAGATTTCTTTTTCGTTATGGTTAAAGAATCTTTCAGTTTTGAAGTGAATTGCTTTTATTTAATTTTCATGTCAGAATAATAATTTTTTTAAAAAAGTACTCTTTAATGTTAATATTTATTTGGCACATTAAACTGAGATATTAAAAGAATAAATAGACATTATTTACCGTTAGAGGCGACGCCAGATTATATAAAATGGAGTCAATTAACCTCACTCAATTTTTAAAAAATATCTATAGAATAGGGTTAAATTAATAAAACAAACTTTAAAAAATGAATATTAAATGATAAATTTTAGATTTTTTAATTTAATTGACTCCACTAAATATCAAATTAAATAAATGATCCCATTGAAAAATTTTTCTAGTTCCACCATTGTCTATTATAACTTCTATTTCTAGAGGTCCCTTAGACAGTAAGAGCATTTATCACTCTATAGTGATTGATTACATATTTAGTTGCAGGCTTGGAAAAGAAAAGGAAAAAAAGATGATGGAATGATTCAAAACTAGTGTATTGAAGAGAAGTTTTAAAATTCAAAGTCTATAAATAGACTTTTTAGTTACATAATCATTCACACCTTCTAATCTATATGATACATCAATCACAATCTTGGAGATGTTCTTAGAGCATTATGGATTGCTCTTATTTAATTGTCACATTAGAAAAATGAAAAGGTTTTTTAAAAAATACTTTCCAATGCTTAACGTCTATTCGATGTGTCAAAAAAAAAAAAAAAAAAATGCTTAACGTCATCGACACTGTGTCAAAAAAAAAAAAAAAAAAAAAAAAAAAAAAAAAAAAAATAGACGTTGTCTACCACAACTTCTATTTTAGAAGGTCTGATAAACAATATGGACATTTATTGCTTTTTAGTGATTGATCACATATTGAATTTTGAGCCAAAGAAAAAAGAAAAAAAGAGGATGGAGAGGATCTAAATTTAGTGCATCAGAAAGAGATTTTTAAAATTCAATATCTATATTCACACTTTCTATTCCATATGACACATCGGCCACAATATATATTAACATTGAAAATGCTCGTGCTAATGTGAATTGCTCTTATTTAAATTGCCATATCAAAAAAATGAAAAGATTTTTTAAAAAATGCTCTCCAATGTAATGCATATTTACTTGTTAAGCTGATGTGTAAAAAACTAAAATAAACATCACCAACCACATCTTTTATTTTTAGAGGTTTACTGCTCTATAGTAATTGATTATATATTAAATTATGGACAAAAAAAGAAAGAGGATGAAAAAGATCTGAAAGTAGTGCATTGAAGATAGATTTTTAAAATTCAACGTTTATAAATATACATTCAGTCACATTACCATTTACACTTTCTATTTCATACGACACGTTAGCCACGATTCACGTTAAGATTTGAGATGCTTTTATATATTTCTTTCTAATGATTTTAAGATTGTTGCGTATTCTATTTTTTAAAAAAAAAGTTTTAATTTAATAACATGGGAAATCTATTTAATAAAGAACTTAAAATTGCAGTTGTTTAACGAAATTTTTAAAGTATATAATTTTATATTAATTTTTTGAAAAAACTTATTATTCAATATACAGAATTCAAGAACTATATATTTAAAAAAAAAGAATAATTTTGTCCACTTTTCAATAGAAAATTTCCTTCTCAAAATTTAACTCTTATCAAATTATATAATTTAACGCTTATTAATTTAAATTTGCGTGTAAAAATTACATTGGTTTTTAAATGAAATTTTTTTTTCTTTTCCCTAACATGTGCTTTTTTTTTTTTTTTTTTTATTTTTTTTTTTTTTTAATGAAGGAAAAGCTTCCTTTCATAGTGAATTAAAAAGAAAATAATACAAGCTATTACAAATGACTCAAGTGGTATAACATATTTAAGTTTGGTAAATGGTCTCTGCAAGATGAAGATTCGATCCATGTAAAAAACATTCGACGAAAATCATAAATCTCAAAATGAGATTAATTACGCAGTTATAGATCTTGAAACAGGAATAGTTGGGTAGTCACAAACTTTAAAAATAGAAAAATACTTGCTTTATATATAAAATTAGCGTCTAAAATGCAAGATTTATCCTTAATGTAAATATAGTAAATACATAAAAACTAAAAAGCGGTAGAAATTAAAGTTTAAAATACAAGATTTATTTTTAATATTTGATTCCATCAAATTGTTTTATCCTTCCATCTATTTTTTATACTTTTTTTTTTTGTTAAAAACCCTAGAAATAATTACTACTTTATACTATATTTTATCAAGACGAACTATTTTGTCCTTCTTATTTTAAAAATACAATATATTATTCCTAAAAATATAAGGTAAAAATTAATGTAAAAAATTAGAGACAATTGTCACGTGTTAATTATCATGATCTGTGCTTGTAATGTTTTTTGAAATATTTTGATTTAATTATTTTTTTCCTACTAAAATTTATCATTTTTAATGGATATTTTAAAGTGTCGAGTACTATAATTTATTTATATAATTTTCTTTTGTTAACATCTTAATTTAATTAATCTTCCTTAGTATACTTTATTTTATTTTTTTAATTAGATTGATCTTGAATTGTTATTTTACTAATAACGAGTGCAATAAAAGACTAAATTGCCATTAAAAATTTTCAAATTTGAATTTCTTTAATTAAATAAATATTAACCAATTTAATGGGAGTTGCTTATTTGTATTGCCATAATATTAGTTTGCACACTTCATCTCCAATGATCAATTTCTGGAACAAATAAAGAAGCAAGGAGCCAAAGAAATAATAATGTTGAATCTTCTAAGGCTCCATTCCTTTTTTCTTTTTTCAATAAATTATTTTGTTAGTCCAACTTTTGGCAAGCATAATTGGCAGCTATATTATTGGTTTTCTTATTTTTCTCACAATAATTTCTTAAGAAGATAGATTTCTTATTATGAATTTTCTTTTTGAGAAAATGAAAAAAAAAATTCCAAACGTTTTGTATTATGCATAAATTATTATTATTCCTACATGTGCCGGTTAAATGGAACATAACATTAATTAAAATATTATTTACATTAAAAGTTATTAAATAGTTTTGATGATAGTTCTTGAAAATGCATTATTAATAATATTTTTATTTTGTTTTATAGACATAATGTGGTAGATAATAGTTTCTTTATTTTAAAATATAATAATTATAATATTTTATAATATAGTAAGCTCATAATCTAAAAAATATAATATTATTTAGTGCAATTGTAATAGTGATAAATGCAATAAATTATTACCAATTAAAAACAAAACTAATAGAGATCATACTTGTGATGAAATTGTGTGTATGATTCTAATGCTGCTCAATTATTATTATTATTATTTAAAATACCAACTTACCCCCATAAAATAAATATATAATTTACTGTTTAATACTTATGTTCTGAAATATTTATATATCAGGCAATCCTTATATATATAATATTTATTACCCCAATTAACAAATAAA